TCTTGCGAATACATTTGTAATCAGAGACGGTTCAGAAAATTCTCATTGTGAGTATTTGTGGTGTAACGTTAACAGAGGGGTAGTTATGTTACTTTAGTCAGCCATAAAGTGTGTAGATAGCTCAGGTTTCATTGTAACAGTGACTGAAAGGCTCTGTGTTGTGCTTGCTGCCACAGAAAAGAAATAAAAAGTCCCTGTTTATGTAACATTACTTTGGCGTCTTATAGGGCTGCTCGATTATGGAAAAAAAATAATCACGATTATTTGGGTCAAAATTGAAATCATGATTATTCAAACGATTCTTTTTTTAAACTTCAGAATCATGCTGCATTTATTGGACATTTGTCAAAAACACTTTGCAAGGAAGTCCTCAGTTACACTCTCCTTTCCCCATAAACATTTGGAAGTCTCCGGTTACCTGTTCAAACGAAAACAACGTGACAGGAGAAGACAGCAACTAGTGTCGCGACCACCGGCGCAAGTATAATTAGTTACGGCGCTCCCATGACTTCACATTGTCGCGCGACAGGTCGGGAACGGCGAGTATACCGAGTGCATGACGTGCAGTGCTTGCTGCAGGGGAGGGACGGGAAATACGCATGCGCGAAATACGCAGACTGTGGCTGTGTCCCAATTCAGGGGCTCAGCTTTTTTTCTATACAACGTTGCACAACAGAAAATGAAAAAAAAAAACGTTTCCCTCCGATTTTATTAGTTTTGAGATCGTTTGGCCCCAAAATCGTAATCATGATCAAATTTCGATTAATTGAACAGCCTTAGCGTCTTATTGTATTCTTCACAGCAGACTGTGAAAATATAGAAAGTTAGCAGCTACGAGTCAGGCTAAAGGCAATTAAAATGAAAACCTTAAACCACTCCACTACAAGTAAAAGTATTATAGCAAGCAAAATGTACTGTACAATCTCGTATTGTAGTGGTTTGCACCGAGTGTATATTCACAGGAGCATAGACACAAACTGGGTGTCAAGTTTTTATCTGTCAATCTTTCAACTGTCGGATATTGAAGAGTGGATGGACAGAGATACAGATCAGCATATGCCGCAGCTGGACGTGCTCCTTGTAAATGCAGCTGCTCACAGATTCAGCGAGTAGCAAATATACCGAGGACACAACAGGTGAGGGAGACTCACTTGGGCTTGGTCTCGGCATCTGTGACTTGGCGGATGAAGATGGCGTCCTCTGGGTGGTTGATGTCTCCCATCTCGTGCATGTAGGAGGAGGCGATTGCGAGCAAGGTGCCATCGTTATTGAAGGCCAGTGAGGCTATGCTGGTCGGGTACCTGTGGAACTGACACAGGCGCTTCTTGTTGAATGGGTCCCAGATGTTCACAAAGCCGTCCGAGCCACCTGGTGGAAGGAGAGGCACAAGGTCAACCATCAAAAGGTTTAGAGCCGTGTTAGTGCTGAGTTATGAATCTATAATAAGTGTGCTCCTTGTGCAACCTTGGCAGCTCAATGCTTGAGGCCATAGGAATATCTTTGAGCTTTATAAAAACAAATTGCCCCATTATGGAAACAAACTAAATGTAGGAAGAAACAAATATCTGCTTTTGTCAAATACTCAGTAGCAAGTAATACCTGTGGCAAAGGTGTTATGAACACTGTGAAATGAGATGGCATTGACAGGGTAGACATGCTCAATTCCATCCTCCTTCAGCCTGTGGCACTTGAAGGCATACTTCTTCTTTTGAAACTCTAGGCTTGGGTCCAGGTACTCCACAGCTACACGTCCCTCGATTGAACTCAAGACGTAGCCCTGAAGCCAAGACAGAAAATATGAATCATCCAACTTCTTCCCATTAACACAGGAATCTGTAACACGATGCTTATGGTGTATTATCTGTCAAGTTTTAACTGTACTTTTATACCGTCTGTATCTTTCATCAGAACTGTGTACGCTTAATTGATAAAAAAGTCATCGCCAAGTCAAAGTGTACCTGTTTGTTGGGGAAAGCTCTAATGCAGCGAGTCTGATACTTGAGACTGGACTCTCTTCTTTGCTGTACGTAGCCCATGTTCCTCAAATCCCACACCAGGACTCGTCTTCCAGCTGTGCCAACGATCAGCCTATCCCCAGCCACAGAGAGCGTATACACCTTTCACAAAGACAACACGTATGAGACAAAAGGGAGATACAACACTTAGCAATGCCAAAAGTCTTACTTCAAGGTCAACTACAAACACATGAATGTGAATTATTCACTAATGCAATATACAGCCATGTGACAGTAAATTAAGAGAATTTCTCTTTGTGCACCAGTGCTAGGTGTTCCTGAAAATGCTTCAATACCATCTCATTTAGCTTTAGAAATTAAACCTGTGACACAAATATGCACAGAGAAACTAATTGGCTGTAGGTAGTTTAGATATTCCTGCAGGACCGACACTTGTTACACTATATTATTCTACACTGTGTCTCTTTGGCTTTACCTTTTCAGGCTGAGTGAAGGTGCCAGCATTGCAGGGCGTCCTTGGGTCCCACAGCCGTACTGATCTGTCCCAGCTACCCGTTACCATGACATTAACCTCTGGACAGTATTCCACACAACGAATGGGGGCATCGTGTGTCCCAACTATTGTATCTGTTTATGGAGGATATTAACATAACAAGCATAAACAAACACATCCAGCAAATGAATCACAGTAAGGGAGATCTGTAACAGGTTTAAATGATACTGCTTTCTATTATTAGTACATAGCAGGGTTATGACATACCTTGGTCTGTATTCAAATCGTGGGTTTTTAATTGTGCATCTAACCCTCCACTCCAAGAATGTGTTGGGTCCTGCAAGTAAAAGAGGAATGTTATGTGTGTGTACCAGGCAGGGACTTCTTTGCTTTGCAATGGCAATGAAAAAAACAAAAAATCTGTGACCTACATAAAAGGCACAGTCAAGAACTGGAGCTGTGTGCTGGTACTTCATCCGCATGGTGTTGCTTGCGACATCATAGAGGCGGACAGTGCAGTCCCAGGAGGAAACCAGCAGGAACTGGGTTGTGCTGGAACTGAACTTGACAGCAGAGATGCTGTCTTCTGGTCCCTGGTTCAGCTTGTACTCGTTTGAGCCTGTCATCTGCACAAAAGAAACAGATCTTAAAGTCCGAAATTGAGACCTTACTGGTGCATAAATAATACACAGGGATGGATGCAACAACGGAGACACCTTAAAATATTGTGCAATCAAGTTTAATCAACACCTGTCTGACATGGCTTAAAGTCAAAGGAAAGTAATAACTGTTACAAATACATTACACTGAATCCCTACAGGTAGTGTTATTGTTCTCTACCTTTGTATTCTATTGGCATAATTTTATCCAAAACCAGATGAGCTGACAAAACAAATTGGTATGCTCAGGATCCTTTGCTTGTTAAAAGCAGGTGAACATTCAATGACTTTCACGTTCATGGCACATTAAAACCATAACATCTGGATTTGTGATTATAAAAAGGTTTGCTTTGAGCTAAAGCAAAAACAGCACTAACGTTACAGCATTAGATCACTTAATTGAGTTAATGTTATTCCCGTACGTGGAGTGAGCTACTGGCACACTGCTGGATAATCGCTCCAGCTACTTCTTCTTGTTGTTAGCCTAGCTCAGTCACAACTAACGTTAGCTCCGCAGAATACTTAGCCTGCTAACATAAACACGGGTTTTGTTGCGAGAGCTGGTGTAACAATACCGTCATTATGTTCTGATCACTTTTGTCCTCGTATCACACTGTAAACACGACTTGTTTAGCCACATCCAGCAACTACACCAAGCCCACTTCCGTTGCCACCGGTGTTTGCTAGCGCTAGCTTGTAACGCTAATGTTAAAGATAAAGGTGGACACACGCCCTGGTGTTAGCCGTTTCCCTTTACTTACCGCTTCAGTTCGGTGTCGCGACTTATTCTTTTTCTTTAACGAGGCTAATTATTACGCCTGGGTTTACAATAAAATATAAAAACATATAACGCGGAAAATGCTATAAAGCAATGTGGCTGCGTGAAGCTAACTCCCTTGCAAGCGCTGCCGCCGATGTTTCTGCGGCCGCTGATTGGTCGAAACGAACGTTCAAACTCCCGCCTGCGATATGATTGGTTGCTGTAATCTCAGCGGATATTTCCGTTGTCTCAGCACAGATCATGTGACACAGGACTCCTTCTTCTTCCTCCTCCTCCTCCTCCTCCTCCTCCTCCTCCTCCTCTCTTTCTTTCGCTGACAAAAAGGAAGTATTTTCTCGAGTAATTGGCAATTATACAGTCAATGGTAATTGCGTCTCTTTCATTTAAGATAGATACAATACATATACCATAAAATAAACCGCAATGCCCCATAGTAAAAAAAAATATATAATGTAAATTAAATTAGCCTGCAGTGGGATTATCCTACTACAAACGAGGAGAAATCAACAGTAGGAATATATAAAGGCTTTTTCATAAAGTCGACTACCTGATTTAGTTCTGTATCCGCAAGGGTAGTACATACAGATATCCACGGTGGCTTATAGACTACTGTAATGCAATACATGTTATGCGTAGCCATATTCTTGTTTTTATTTATTTATTTGTGGTTTGAGGAGAACTTTGCTCAAATAGGTCTATTCTAATAGAATAACAATCTGCAGATCATAGTCTATTTCAGTCTTCTTCTCAGACGACAACAAAAAAAGAAAACCCAGCCTTTAAACGTATCATCATGTCTTTAAAATGTGTGAAAAATGAACGTCTCCTGTACGATTTAATCCCTTGAATTTGCTTTTTAATTGCGGCCATAATCTGTTGTTTGAGGTAGCCTATAGTTATCTGCAAGTTATCGGTTATTTAAGAAAGCACAAATTATGTAGCAAAAAACGACAGCTGTAGCCTATAGCAAAGTGAAAGTGGTCTATTCCAGAATAAAACCCCAGAATAATGGTTTCTCAAATGCTGGACATTTAAAAATTTCTCAAGTCATCAGATTAAAAATGATGATGATCATTAATTAGGCTTAAAAATGCCTGTTAAAAATGATTTATTTTGGAGGGCAGCATCATCTCTGTAGACCCTCATTGTGGCGTAAAGCCTCATTATATTTTCATTATTTAAAAAAAAGGTAATTTCATCGTCACAAATGTTTGAAAATCAAGATCTTTACAACATGGCATAACTGAATGACTCTTTTTCCATGTACATCACAATTATATTAAGGGGAGATCCATTTTTGGAACAAAATCTTTACTGAGTGTAAGACCATATAATATACAGAATTTCAATAACAATATCAGAGAAAAAAAACATACACAAAAACAGAGGCTATTTTTGGCTCTTTCATGGCTTTAAAATTACCGGCAAAACATTGCGTCATAAAAACAATTGCCTATCACCTGCAGTTATTTTGGGGATTATTTTAAGGATCACATGATTGTCCTCACTATTACAAAGAGAAAAGGGATCATTGTTTCTGTAAAAGTGAACTATAGGTGACAAAGGCTGGTCGCCTAATGTGAAGCCAACAGTATTGCACAATATTGGAAAATATCAAAATATTAAATTCCACACATTTTGCTACAAACACTGACACAGATCTCTGTAAAATACATATGGACAGCCAACCCTGTTTTTTTTTTTCAAATTGAATACATTAAAATATATTCACCCACTTTTGAGTATGTAACAATTTCACCAATAATAATAATAATAATAACAATAATAAATGTAGATTGTCCCTCCTCTAACACCAACTGAAAAGGGACTTTGTCTCTCGCTCAAGGACGCTTTAGCAGGATAAAGGATAATTACATATAATAATAATAATAATAATAATAATAATAATAATAATAATAATAATAATATAACATCGTGTCCGTTTAATCTACAAAATATACAAAACTTTATTATTTTTTCAGTGAAGGTCACTCTGATTTAAAAACATTTGTACAGCGCATGATGACACAGTCAGTGTTAAACGGGCCTCAGCAGTGGGACCGGGTGCGAATAGTACATGTGGTGGGGAAAAGCAAGCAGTGACTGGCTGCCCGGTGAGTTTGCAGCGGGGCCCCCGGCCGTTTCTGGGGCTCCGTTCTCGTGGTAAAGTATGGGAACCCGCACAATCCTCTGCGCCGCCGCATGGCTCAGGTTGGCCGCCTCCAGCTCCGCGGCCAGCTGCCTTTTCCACTTATTCCTCCGGTTCTGAAACCAGATTTTCACCTGCGTCTCCGTCAGGTGCAGGGACGCGGCCAGGCCCGCCCTCTCCGAGCTGCTCAGGTAGCGCTTTATGTCGAAGGTGGACTCCAGCTGGAAGACCTGACTCCTGGAAAACACCGTGCGCGTCTTCTTCTTCCGACAGGGCTTCCTATCGGAGTCCAGCTCGTCGGTTTTTCTCCTCCAGTCGTCCTCCTGGTCTATTTCTTTCTTTGGCTCCTCCGAGTCACTTTCATCCAGCGCGATATCGTCGTCGGCACTTTCCTCTTTGGCATCTTGGTCACTTTTTTGGAGATCCGGGGAGCGCCTATCCGGTGCCGGTGATGCTTCCCTCAGGTTGGCCTTCTCAGACCCTGCAGAAAGAAATATATGGAGTACTCCATTAAACATGTGACTGCAATGACAATCGCCTGTATTTTAATTCATTCCAGACATTCAGTTTGTTGTTGAAATATTCGTTTTTCCTTTTGTTAAAATACTGATAGAATGATTCCTTTTAATTTAGGCTATTACTCGTATGAAATAGTAGGCAATTTCCTGTTAAATGAATCTAAATTCAGACTTTTCCAGACTCAAACACAACATTTCTTTTATCTGCAGAGTTAAAGTTAACAATATTTACCTCCAGTCCTCAGATGAGTCCCGAGCGTATATGGATACCACCAGGTAGACGCTCTCTCCAAATACTGCGCTGATAGTCCAATTCTCTGTGTGGGCAACTCAAACCGAGGGAAAGACAAGTCACCGAGCCGAGAGAAAAAGCTGCCTTCAAACACTCCCTTGGACGAGCCGAGGAAGCTTTTGGACTTTGTAGGTTTGTCATCAATGTTCAGCAGGTTCTTTATGGAGAACGGTGAGTCTTTTGCGGGTTGGCGAGTCTCTTGCGCATCAGAGTCTGCCATCACCGTTTACTGTCCGACGTGGCTCACCATCAAAAGGGATAAAAACACCTGAAAAAAGATTTTCTTGGTTGGTAGTTGCAGTAGTGGTGTTAAAATCACACGAGAGAGAAACAGAGAGAGAGAGGGAGAGGGAGAAAAAAAAACAGAAAGTCGCTCGAAGCTGCGTCCAGCTCCTGAGGATGATCAGAGTGAGAGCGCAGAGATCACTGCGTCAAACTTGCGCTGCATGGATTGTAATGATGAAATAAAGAATGCGATCCGAGTTAAAACGCGCTCGGTCTCTGCTATTGGGCAGGTACAATAGCAAATGGGGTTTGAGATGAAACCGTGAGGGGCTGTGACGAGAATAGACTCCAAAGAGAAAGGCCGCGCAAGCGTTTTGCCATCGGGCTCAACAGTACGCACCCACTTATCATCCAATTAGATTAAAGAGGAAAATGTCTCAGGGTTTTGGGGGGCGTGCGCGAGCCGCAATCACCTGTCAGTAAATTGAATAAACGGTCCAGGGATTAACACACCTCAGCGGGGAGTTGTAAGCAGCTTGGTTTTAGCAGAAATATTACGCAAATTACGCACATTTTACGCACTAATGTAAGTCACCGAAAACATGTAAGACAATAAAAATTTAGGAGACTTGTTATATTTATTTGTTATAGCACAAGAGAGATAGATTTCTATAGAGGAGGTTTGTTGAACACTGTGACCTGCTGAGGATCAATCTCGTATTCATCTGTTGTATTTCAAATATCCTCTGTTCCACCTGTGTGCAACAGGAAAGTAATATGCACTGCGCATTTCTCCTGGACCGGAGCTCATTGACTTCAGTGTAATTTTATTAGTCAGGAAGTGCTACAGGCAGGCATCAAATTGAATGCTTACCATTGTGATAAAGGCTTTTCAAATCAGCTTTGTACAAAAGCCTGCAAACCCACAGGGGCAGCAGGTGATCTAATGCAGGAGGATGACAAGTCTTGTTTCTGTCACATATTACAACAATACAGTGCTGGGATGCAACAAATTATAATTGTAATGAGACATTCATATGATCAAGTGTGATCAGATTGGATGATAAGTAGCAGAAGATAAACACACAAAGTGAACAGGAGGGAGATTTAGTTTACATTTGTAAGCCTTCTAAGTGCTTTTCTCCAAAGATTGAAGGAAATATGTATGCTTGATTCTTCACTTCATGGAGAGGTGGTGAATCTTGGATTCTTTTAATCAAACAAATGGCCTCTGCAATGCGCTTTACCATAAAACATAGTGCACATGTCACTTAGAAAATCTTAAAACAAAGGGCGTCTGATGAAAAAGGACTTAAACATAACTTATGTACACAGTGTTTGATGCATATGTTCTTGCGTTTACCTATGAAGTAATATTTAGCTTACACATGTTAGTATACATGAGCAAAAATAAAAGAAAGTACAAAAAACACACCATGGGTTGCAATTAGGAATCATAATTTAAACCAATCTTGAAGCAGATGCAGAGAACTAATCAAATCAATTGAATTTGCTCAACCTACAAACATGCAGCCTGTCCTTTAGCTCATGGAGCACTCTCCAGCTCCAAAGGACAACACTGTGTTTTGTGAAAAGCTACTTGAATCCCTGCATAATTAGAGGTCTCATAGCTGTGTTAAAGATGGGGGCGGAGAAAGAGGCTAGTTGAAGCTGCATTTGCCAGTGCAAAGTGAAAAAGCAGATACATAGCTTTGTTTTCATCGGATTATGCTCATTAAACAGGGGCTTGCACAATAGAGGGAACAAGCCAGAGTGGATCAGAGAGGGAAACTCAATCAATGATGCAAACACAGGCCTGTGTTTCCCCCTTTCTGTTTTGTTGTTTTAGTGATTTTTTGGAAATGTCTGGGCAAACATTGAGCTGATCTTATTGGTAAATTATTTTCTCAGTCTGTCTAAGATTAATTTTTGAAGCACTTGATTCCAAAGTGATATGAAAGCGCCGACAGTATCCTCAGGTTGATCAGACTCAGGGCAGGATTTTAAGTATAGAGGTTTATATGTAATTACATCACACATAATAGACTCTACCAATGTCAGATTATTTGTTCAATCAGTGAAGACCCACTCCTAAATGATACTTTATATTTAGTCTTTAACAACTCTGGAGTTGCACTGAAATACAAATAATTAGGCTTCTTTTCCCAGGATGGTTATAATACTCTAATGCTGACCATTCCCTGCCTCAGACATCTCAGAAACAAATAAGATTTTTAGGATCTGATAATATGTGGTGAAGAGAAGTGTTGTGTTTGATGGTAACACAGATGACACTTACAATTTATCATAAATTAATCATTAAATAAAATCTTATGATCATAATACTAAATCTGATAGGTAATTCTCTTCCATACAGAATACAGAATTTTTGTCAGACAACTTTTTTTTTTTTTTTTTACCATATTCAGTGAGTGGAATGATTACAAATAATGGGACATTACATTTATTTAGCTATTGTTAGAGAATGTCCGTCTACATATTTGGCATCAATTATACAGCCAATCTCTACCACTGCAGCAGTCATGAATGTGATTTTTTCTCCACCTGTTAATAAATAATGTTAAGTACTGTCAGTGATGAATGTCTTTCAAGACTCACCATTTTATTTTTACAAGGGGTCATGAAGGGAAATGGCTGTTACGGGTCTGTATACTTGGACACAGCTTGTCTGTGTGGTGTAAAAAACAAGCCATGGAAATGTAATCAATCTCACCTGAAAATGTATCACCGAGTCAATTATACAAGGCAGCCTCTTTCATATGGAGCACCAGCATAATTAAATTGACATAAAACATCATTAGAGGTGACAGGCTGTTAAAAGACGTGGTAATCGACTGCTCTTTCAGTGAGAAGCTGCTTAGAGTCAGACTTCCTTTGTCACTCTGGAGAATGCTGCCATCTAGTGACAGAACTCGGTATTAATACTGCAAACAAATAATCATGCAAAAGAAATAGTTGACTGCACAACAGCAAACATTTATTGATAATGTCAAAGTTATTGACAGATCACTCTTTACAGACAATTTCTTGACATAGTATGAAATAACTTTCTCATTTTCCCCAACAAGGAACTGTACAGTATTGATGGAGCATCTAAGCTTTACAATCCACCTACTTTAGAGTATCCTTCAAAGAAAATAGTTTTAAGTTCTCGATGTCAGTCATAGCAGACCTTCTGAAGGCACTGAAACATTCAAAGAAAATACCAACCAAAACATCTCATATTTCTATATTTCATATCTCATATTTAAACACATGGATCTGTTGTGTTATTGACATGATTCATCACCATATTTCAATAAGCAGAAGAAGACAAATATGAATAAGAGGTCGTGGTACAGCTTTACATATGACACAAATTGTTTTATTGCTAGACATTTTGGAAAGGTCTGATAGAAAGCATAAAAAAAAAAAACTCATTACACCAGAGCAACTTTAACCGTAAAGCAGGAGAAATGTAACTATCAGTAACATTAGTAGTGGGAACTACTTAATAGGAGTAAAAGTCTAAACTTTAAACATTTGAAACTGCAACAAAAACTCAAAACATAAAGCAAATCTACAGCAATGACCAAAATCATTCGAGGAAAAAAATATGGAGTGTTACACAGCAGTGTGCAATCTATCAGGCACCAGTCAGATGGTTTCAGTGGTCATACTCCTTATCAATGAACTTGGCCATGGTGGATAACTGAACATTTGTCGTGCCCTCATAAATGGTACCTGCACATGGAGACAAAACAAAGCATTAGAAGAAATTCCTGCTGTACAAAACAAGGTCAGTTTTTGTCAAATTCCCCTACAACGAATCTGCAGCTTTCACTATCAGGAGACAAGGGGGCTTATTATGCGGTCTACCGGGGCTCCAGCTGGAGAACTGGAGAGCCAAAATGGTGGTGATGAAAGGAAAAATGACATTTTGCCCTGGCAGCTTCCTTGGCTGTGTGTTGGTATAATGGCACTCTGAAGGGGTCAGACGGGGGAATTCCTGCAGAGTCCGATTACAGCCACTGCTATCAGTCCCTTCTCTCCGCCCCACTCTGGTCCAATCACAAACAGCTACACCTGACCTTCCTGCAGCCCTCGTGAGTTGTGTCCTTTCCACAATTGTAGCTTCAGCTGCAGTTACCTAAACAATCTAACAAACAGTTTGCAAACACAAGTCATTTGTCTTGTGGTGCATATTTGTCCAGTCATGCTCACCAATTTTACAGTCTCTGTAGTATTTCTCTATGGGGTAGTCTTTGGTGAAGCCTACCCCTCCCATCCATTCGATGCATTTAGATGTGGTTAGGGTTGCAAGCTGAGGAGGATAAAAAACAGATATTATAACAACAACCAGACAGATGCTTCTATAAGGCTGAAAATATCTTTTATAGGAGTTACCTGGGCAAAACATAGCAGCAGCATCACATCAGTAGATAACATAGATTTAACAGACTTATGAAACAGATAGAGTAATTAAGGTTCAACACAGATTAAATAAGAGAAATAATATATAATAGATTTAAGTTCCTCTTTATTCAAAAATATGTTTTTCATCTTGTTCCTACAGTTGATTGATTGAGCTTCACTGTGCAGAATGATGTATGTAGAGAGTTTAACACGAGAAGCATGTTTTCACATTCATCTTCTGAAAGTGGAAAGTTTGTCTGTGATCACTGAAAATCTGATATTATGGTGCTATGAGCACGATTTGGAACACCTGTCCATCCTCCCACCAGTGCACATACACTGAGAAAGAACTTGACAGTGAAGTAGGAGACATCTTGGATTCAGTAGAAAAATGTAAGACATTTGCATATTTATAGGTCCTGGAATTTCAAATGAGGTATTAAGGAATACATACCCTTTTAAGGATTTTATACTTCATATAAATCAGACACACATTATTGTTCCAAGCAGATTATTTGTATATGTTTGGTCTGTTAATAGAAGGATCTTTAAGTATTATTAGAAGGAAATAAATCCTTCAAAATATATACAATGGCTTTATAAAAACATCAATCAGATAACAATAATGATCAAATATATCCTGGAAAAACACACAGAGAGTCCAAACCTTCTTAGCAAAACCTTGTATTGAACTGTAGTCATCGAGTGAGGAAGCTCACCTCTGCACAGAAGTATTTAGCCATGCAGGCCTCCTTAATAAAAGGTCTCCCGGCTTCCTTCAGGCGAGCGGCGTTGTATGTCAGCAGCCGAGCAGCCTCAATCTGTGTTGCTACGTGCGCTATTTGGTGCTGCATACCCTGGAATACAAAGCATAACCATAACAACATCATTGAACACACCGGCCTCCACAATAATGTCAATAATCACAGACATGTCATCTAAAGGGAATGGATTTCGGATCTTCACCTGGAAGTCAAAGATACGTTTCCCAAACTGCACCCTCTGTCTGGTGTAAGGAATAGTGTTGTCAAAGCAACCCTGCGCCAGCCCAAGCATCTGAAACACACACAAAGTTAGCCCATGCAACATGTCCATTTTCACATGTTCTAATATTGAATAAAGTACGTTGAGCTTGTTTTAAAGAATTTAAATTAAAGTCTACCTGAGCAGCAATTCCAATCCTGCCCTCGTTCAACATTCCGATGGCATACTTGTACCCATGACCGATCTGTCCCAAAATGTTCTTCTCTGGTACCTACGACGGAGAGCAGAAAGTTAGTAAAAGCCACTGTATGCGGCTGTTTCACATTGGTCGGGTACAGTACGAGGTGTTTGGTGGCACCTTGACATTGTCAAAGTTGAGCGGGCAGGTGGAAGATGCACGCAGACCGAGCTTGTTCTCCTTCTTGCAAATCTCCAGCCCCTCCGTGTCCTGGTCCACGATGAAGCAGGTGATGCCTCTGTAGCCCTGTCAATCAAAAGTCAGATTGTGTTTACATTACAGAGGCACACATTTCCTCAAAAGGATGTTAGATGATACGGTTAGGTGTTTTTACATTAAAATCACAGTTACAATAAATAACAGGCAACAAGAATAGAAAGATGAGTAGTTACTCACAGCCGATGGGTCCACATTGGCCATCACCAAGAAAACACCTGCATGCTCCGCGTTGCTGATCCACATCTTGGATCCGTTGATTATGTAATAGTCTTTATGTTTTTCAGCACGCGTCTTCAGAGCAAAAGCATCGCTCCCTGCTTCTGCTTCAGACAGGCAGAAGCTTCCAATCTGTGTGACATGATACAGGCATATAGTAAATACTGTGCACAATATTCACAGCCAGTCAGTATAAAAACTGTGAATCTTATGTAGTTGGTCGTTTAACAACATCTTTCTGTTATAGCTGTCTTCGTCTTTCACTTACAATGAGGAACACACCGTTTGATCTGTGCGTAGTCTTTTATCACACTGGGAGACAGAATGTCAAATGTCAAATGGCTCACCATGTCGGTTGACAGTCGGCTGAGGTACTGCTCTTTCTGAGCTGGCGTACCCAGTTTAACAAACAGCGTGTTGATCAGTGTGTTCTGGATGTCACAGAGCACGGCCACAGAGGGGTCCACCTTCGCCAGCTCCTCGATGACCAGAATGGAGGAGAAGAACGTGGAGCCAGTGCCGCCGTACTCTGGGTCAATCTCTATGCCCATGAGCTGTAAAGAAATTCAATATCAGAGTCACTGGATAGAAAATAAAGCCTGCCGTTGATTTTATTGAAATAACACGTCTGTTAATTCGCAATAAAATGAATTACATACACCCTGTTCGAAGAGAGATTTGATCACATCCTCATCCATGGCAGAATTCTCATCCATCTTCGACACAAACGGAGCAATGCGCTCCTGTGCATATTTTTTCACTGTCAAACAACAAGCAGCAGATGTTTAGTGCTTTAAGGAATTTCTGCATCCAGCTGTCAGCAGCAGCAGGACACATCTTACCAGCTCACCTGCTTCCCTCATCATGTTCTCCTCCTCTGAATATGTCTGGAGGGGAGGAAAGGATCCCACCACAGCTGCCTGGTCTGAAGCCATGTCTGGGACAGGTCTGTTGGACATGCTCCTCCATCCAGCCTGGCATGAACCCCATGGTCGAGAGATCTGTCTGCAAGACTGAAAGCAGGAGGACAGACAACCGTGGGAATCTGCGTGTTTGGGTACATACACAGTTTGAAAAAGAGTGCTCGACATTCATATGGCTATAATTCACCATTAATGATAAGTTAATGAATTAAACGTGTCTTTTATTGACCAGCTACAGTGTGTTAACTTACTGCCGAGTTTGTGCTGTCAAGCTAGCGCTAGCCGTCTGTTCGCTGGTAATGTCACTACAGCAAGAACCAGCCAGGTTACGTAATTCAAGGATATATGATTTATACAGAGTAACATGTATGTAAATCAGTGCAGACACCCAGCATATGTAAATAACTGTGACTATAATATTCGGACTCACCTTTGAGAGAATCCTAACCAACGGGGCAGCCATGACTTGTTACAAAATGTTTACATGTGATGCCGCCTTCAAGTACCTCTTGTCAGAGTCAGACAGGCGAGTTTTTTTGTTGTATATAGTAGTAGTAGACAGTATATGTAAGTTATTAGCGTTAATGATACAACAATTGTGTAAAGACAAAGCAAATTCAAGCTGCCCGACATGACGCTCTTTATCAGTAGGTTTAAACAAAAAGAAACTTAAAAGCGCACTGATGTGTGTGGGGGAAAAAAAAGGTATTTTATTGTGAACGGCATTTTTGTATATACTTACAGATTAAGCCATATTTTGATTACACGAAAAGGAAGAACTATTGCTTTTTGGATAAGATAGAGAAAATCCCACCACTCATTACTTAATACCACTTATTTTGTGAAATGAAGAGCTCTTTTTCCCGACCGTCACCGAAGGCAACAGTTGCGTTTGTGGGGGACACAGAACACAGACGTATCAGGAAAAAACGAAAACGTTCACCTGGTAACAATTCTAGCCGAATAATTTATCCCCAGAGCCCAGTTTTCACACTTCTCTCTGCTTAACGATAATGTGATGAACTGCGTTGAGGACGGTGTTTGGTAGTCGGTGTTAATAATAACAATTGTTGTTAGGCTCGAGCTAGCTAGGCAACGTTAGCATTGCTGATTGTAGCTATGAGCTAAGCTTCAAGATGTTTTATATGCATTTACGTTTGCTACTGTAGGCAGTCAGATGTGAAAACAGAGTTGTCACACTGACCTATCTTCTCTGGATCTTTTCAGGTTGAGTACAAAGAGGAAAATGGAAGAGATAAAGACCGAACCTGTGGATTTTGTGAGGGAATTTCAAGAATACCTGACACAGCAAACCCAGCATGTCAACATGATCTCGGGCTCTGTTTGTGGAGAAAAGGAGTCAGGGGAGCCGTTTCAAGCCGGTGGGAAAGGGAGTACAATACATCATACAGTAGTACATCTTTTATAACAGAATAACATCTTAAAAGTCGTTGTGCGTTTGGTTTTAGTTGCCCCCAGGAGTGAGCAGAATGGTCTGGACCCTCCGTCTGTGGAGGTGAGCCTGTCAGTGGAGGATGGCTCAGATGTACAGATGGAAGGCCTGGAGAGGACCTGCGATGGAAAGTACAAGTGCAGCTACTGCAGCTATGCCAACAAGGGCATGGCTCGTTTAATAGAGCACATCCGCATCCACACAGGTCAGTATTTCCACACATTCATTCACTAATGCAACACCAAGTATGGAAAACACTGGAGGTAATCCAAACACATAACAGTACCTGTTGTATGGTATATATTATATACAAGGAAGGGGTTTAAGCTGATCCCCAGCAAAAAGGAAACATTTATAAACTACACCATTTCAACTATTATGTTATAACTGTATCATATATATCATATCATTTTATCAAATGCAAAATCCTGCCCAAATCTGAGACTGCTTTAAGAGAATACAAGACAATATTTGGGAAATACCTTTTATAGGTTACACATAGTTTCAAAAGCATTCTAGTTGGTCAAAGACTGAACGCTGATGTGCGGTTAATGAATTCCCAAAAACCCAGCTATCCTGCTTTTAATGTTTCATCTCAAATTTAACTTGTATGTTAGTATTATCATGTCATACAATGTGTCCTAGGATATTATATTGTTAATCATAGCAAGCAGGTGTCTAATTAAAAATACAAAGTAATTAGTAGGTCACATTATGTCAGAATGACTTGAAACTCTTGAGAATGTCCGCTGACTATTAGATTTACTAATAACCTACATTAACTAGATAATTAAGGATAAAATATTGGAAGATCTTCTTGCTATACCTTTTTTGTCTATATCATCTCATTGCATTTTTTATAACCCCTTGTGCATTACACATACTACATTGTACTTACAGCCTCACCACTTTTTATAAATGCAAGTATTTCCTCTCCTGATTGTCACCCAGGAGAAAAGCCCCACCGCTGTCAGCTGTGCCCGTTTGCTTCAGCGTACGAGCGCCACTTGGAAGCCCACATGCGCTCGCACACGGGAGAGAAGCCGTACAAGTGTGACCTCTGCGCCTTCTGCTGTAGCGACCGCAGCAACCTGTCGCACCACCGCCGCCGCCGCCACAAACTTCTGCCAACGAGAGTCGCCCGCTCTCCTTTCACCAACAAGAGGATGTTGAGCTCCCTGCAGAAGAGGACAGGTTCACTGGGTTACAGCAGGCGTCTGCTCATCAACTTCAACCCTCCGTCTGTGGGATTGCCAAAGTCAGATTATCTGAATGACTTGTCACACAAGATCCACAACCATTTGAACAGCAGTGAGTATAAGAACCTTCCCAAGGTTGATGAGAACGACAGTCGCAACAGAGGTGCTAATGGTTTGACTTTTAATAATCCGCTGGATCAGCTGTCTACACTTGCTGGCCAGTTGGCCGAGCTTCACCCGGAGTCTCAGACTCCTGCAACCATGGACAGGGAGTCCTTAACAGACGAGAAGCCCATCCTCATAAGACAGGTCTCTAGTGAACACGTTGCGATGTGTTCAAACGGAGTGCAGACTTCACCGGCTAAAAGAGAATCTCCCATCTCAGGTCCTGGGAGTTGCAGTCCTGTTCCCGGCCTCGGCTTTGAGAACAGCGTGAACGCTCTCGCTGCAAGTGTTAGCAACAGCCAGCCGAGCACACCCGCCCCTGCCCTGAACACACCGGACCAACAGCTCTTGCATAAATGCGAGCATTGTGATATTGACTTTCTGGATAATATCCTCTACACCATCCATATGGGCTGCCATGGCTACGAACATCCATTCCAGTGCAACATCTGTGGTCACATGTGCGTGGACAGATATGACTTTGCATGCCATTTTGCCCGTGGACAACATAAAAAGTGATTCCTTACAACATAGATGCATATGGAGTCTTGGTGTTTTCAGTATAATGCTTGTACAGTATATAACATGGGGACACTGATTTACATTTTATATTTTTTCATATACAGTTTACTATTCTTTTTTTATTTTGTACTCACTAACTGCACTATATTGTTGCCTTACTGCAGTCCTACATGGCTCCCTGATGTGAGTTTTCCATATTCGTTTTAGATTGATAAATACCAAGGGTGGACAAAACAACGTCTTGCAATACAAGAGCTCTGCAGTGTCTTTTCAGATCATCCTGCAGTCAGTATGAGTTAGGACAGGAGTTCCCAAACTTTTTCATGTCAAGGACCAATACAGTAGATGCACATTAAACCACGGACCCTCAATTCGGCATGCTTTTGTCCCTTCTGATTGTCTTTATTTTTAAGTTTGAAGATAATTAAATATTGGCATTAGTTTGGCATATTATGGAGATTTTTGGGATTGGCCCATGTCTCATTGCTTTGCAGTGAGTCAGCAGTCTTTCACTCAGCTCCTATAGTAAACCACCATTACCAGAGCACCAGTATTCAAACATGAGCTTCACCAGTTCAGTATTAATTGTGGGGCTGCTAAACTGTACTTTTGTCCACCATCTGTATATCGCTTGTTAGTCTACACCAAAGTTTCTATCTCAGTTAAATCAGCTGGACACGTTTTGCTGTGAGAAACTGAAGTGGGATGTTCAGAAACTGACAGCCAGACTCATTATAATCCTCCTCACTTTTCTGATATTCATACCTCACTCCACAGACTCCAGGTATCAACCAAATCAGTCAGTAATATTTTAGATAGGTTTCAATATTATTTTTCCATCTTTTTTGTTACTGATTTATACTAATGAAAAAATTTTCTACAATATTTATAAACTGTCTTGAGTAGTTTTGTGGTATTGTACATACCATTTTTTTGTTGTTGCACAAAATCTATTTTTCTTTAGCTTCTTATTTGTATGGTAGGATGTTGAGACACTGTAAAATTCCCTGTGACTCTTAAGATGTAATTTTTCTTTGAATTAGTTTGGTTAACTTATTTGTATGTGATTATCTAATTATGGAGAAAAAGTAAGCAAGCAGAGACCATGTAGATGACCACTAGTGTCTATCACTGTCCCTTGAATTTAAATACATTTTGGGGATTTTGGCTTTTAAAAATAATATTTGTGAAGGTTTATAATTACAGGATTAAAATGATAAGATAGGTATGCATTATCTGTGTTTTGCTTAGTGTCACAACGGTCCACAAACTGAAGAGGACACAATTAAATTTGCCTTTGAAAATTCATAAAAGATCATTTATTTTCATTGATGATTCTCAACAGGATGCCTTTTCTTTCATGATCAAAAACGTCCACCGCTCTTGTCACCACAAGTTCTACATCAATGTCCTCCTCTTGAGTGAAAGACGCTCCCTGAAGCATCTGTCTCCGCAGGCTGAGAAGAAATGCTGCTTTGGATTCGTTCAGCTCAGTGGCCAAAGACCTCATGTGCTCAGGGGGTACTTGATTTTCTAAAGTTAGGGTGACAAAATGATCATTGAGTCGGGCTGGAAAATACAAAGTAAGTAAAATGTCAAATGTGTCACATTAACGAAGCCTTCGACTGACCTCTGGCCGTCTTCATGGCTTCAGAGATAAGGCGTCGACAGGCCTGGTCGGCCTGGTGAACCACACTCGTGGCACATTTCAGGCGGTCAGCCTCCTGCAACAGTATCAGACCACAACACGGATAAATTCTCCACTCACTGCATGTTTAAAATCCACTATTAATAGATTTGATGGGTGCTACGCCAACACACCGTTTGTTCAGTGTTGTCCACATGTGGGCTCAGTGGGTTGCTCAGTGCAGAGGAGATCAACTCCATCACCCTCTGGCTGAGGAGAAGCCATACAGGAAGAGAAACAGACGGGAGGCAACAAATGAATACCTGTCGTGTGAACTTCAGTAATAAGTGTTGATTACTAGTTTATTCTGCTGTCTTACATGTCACATTTGGACAGAATGTCTGTAGTGTTGAGTGAAATGCTGTTTTTCTCCCATGAGTTCTTCTGTGGATTTGGAGGCTCCAAACGCTTCACCATCTCCAGTATCACCTCAGTTGGAATAGGTTCAGACCTGCTCTGGTTTCTGCTGATGCAGGACTCCAAACTACACTCCAGATACACCTGGCAGAAACCCAGCGAATCTAAAGAAAAAATTATTAAATTCAAGGAACACCATTTAAAAAGCATACTAGTGGTTTACTAAAACAAGTATATCGCTTGTTAGTCTACACCAAAGTTTCTATCTCAGTTAAATCAGCTGGACGCTTAATTAACTTGCAGAATCTTATCTTAAAACTTGCTTGTATTTAGTAATTCATCATTGTTAACATTTGTGTTCTTTGTGTTGCAAAACTATGGTTTTAAAATATTAACTGGTGCATTCAGGTGCTTGCAGTAGGCTCCAATCTTCCCAGATTTAATAGTTTGATTCTTTTGAGGTATGAGATCAATATAAAATATATAACATTTGTACTTAATGGGTTAAAATGTGCAAATCTACCAGTATGGAACATTAGTATATGAACAGTCAAGTTAGTGGACTATGCTGTAGACAGAGAACCCAGTGCTCACACTTTCTTGCAAGTTGGTACACTTCATATCTCATGCTTGGATAGTAGAAGTTGTCATCCAGTAGAAAGAGAAGTGGTTCCCGCTCAGCCTGAGAGCGGTCCAAGGCTTCAGGCTGCAGCAGAGCTCGAATGCACTGTTCCCATGCAGCCCTGTCGATCTGACAGCTGCTCGGCAGCTCCGTTAAAACTTGAGGTTTCTCCAAGAACTGCTCAATGCCGCCCAAAACTGCTTGTCTGTGGAACTTCCATTCAGTGTGCTAGACAGGGGAAAAAAGTTATCCAATTAATAAAACATATTTTAAGTTCCTAAAATCCAAGCTCACATATTCAGATTGCTTGTTTTGTCTGACCAATAGCCCAAACCCCAAAGATATCCCATTAAATATCATAGAAAACTAAGAAAATAATAAATAATCATATGAGAAGCTGGAACCAGTGATGTTTTAGGGAGGAATTTTTAAATTTAACCTTTTAACATTTTTTAACTTACATAATTAATCTATAAACATAATTAATTGTTTTCAGCTCTATACATACTGTACTTTTCCCTCTCCTAAAATTATCCTAACATATTGAACTTAAAAAAAAGTATTGTTCATATATATATTCTTCATAATACAACTCCCAATGTTATTAACGTTGTACTGGTAGTTTCCAATTTAATGTAACTAACATTGTGCACTTTTACTTTGTCCTAGTCCATGATTTTTGGATATAGTGTCATCAGATGACACTTTTTGGGGCTGTCACCAGATAGAGACCATACGACCAATTTAAATCCTGAACTCCCAGTAAAAATCAGCCAGTTTAACAACTGTCTTTACCATTTCTTGCTGTTTGACACCGTCCTCCACCACTCTGGTCTGAAAAGCATCCTCGGGGATCAGGTCATCATACGGCACCACACCGGCTCTCCATCCGTGCTGCGCAGCGGTGCTCAAGACCTTGCGGGCCAGCGTGGACTTCCCAGCAGCAGGTAACCCGCAGAGGACACACAGACAGGCCGGGGCCCGACGGACAGCTCCGGCTTCCTCGGCTGCCATGCGCTACCAGAGAGCCGCTTTATAACTCAGCTTTTTACATGGTGTTGGAGCCACGGATGGTTGCAGGTTGCAGGTGACGACTTCACTTCCGCATCATGCCGCGTAGAAATCAAACATGTGACTTCCGGCTACAATCCTATCAAAATAAAAGCCATAAGAAGCAATGCAGCAGGGTAGACGCGCAGAAGAGGTGGCAAAATGTCTGCCACCTCTTCTCTGGTCAAAAGAGGCCATTTGTTGCTCAGGTCTCTAATGTACTAGACTGAGGCACTGGGAGCTAAATAAATTAGCAGAGTATTGTAGTCCAGAGACAGTTTTACATGTTTCATTCTCAACCTGGGGGCCAGAACCCATCAAGACCTCCAAAGAAAAAAAACTGATGGGTTAACTAATCTGAATGGGGTCACAGGCCAAAAGGGTTTGGAACCACTGATTGAAGGACCATCATATCTTGGGGTTTGTGAACTTTCTCTGTGACCAAGAGCATAAATGGTGGTTAAAGTCCTTTATTCTTTGTACTAGGAGAGCAGTCACACACCAAGCACCCATAATAGACCTCTTTCACAGCAGCCATTTTGACATGAAATAGTAGGCTGAACACCTGCCACCAATGATACTAATTAAGGTTCCATTCCATTTAGTGTAGCAGAGACTTTCCAGTGAGCCAACATGCACAATAGCAGCATCCTAACTCTCTTTAACCTGAATGGAACAGGCAGAGAAGTAAGGAAAAAGGAGAATTTCACATCAGGGGCATTTCCTTAATTCTTGTATGTCTATTTCCAACTACATAGGCCCAATTTGTACCTCATGTAAAACAATTGTATGAGTGACACGAACTAGAGTGAGCACTGACAGTACAGACGTGTTGCTACAGTACAAAGAAACTCACACTGTTATCAAAAAAGTCCATTGCCTGATACATATTTTTATTACAATTCATGAAATCAAAATTTACAAAATATTTTAAATACTTTCATAATTATACAGGATAGCATAAAATACAAAATATTTGGTGATTTTTAAAAAATATTTTATGTGCACATATTTTCAATGAGTGAACTTAAAAAAACACACACATTCAAAAAATATTTACACCGGCCTCGTCCACCACCACGTTACCACAATCGACTATAAAAATGTGCTGGCAGCAAGTAACAGTGAGTCTATTATTATCACAGTGTTTATACATTGTCTCTTCATACTGCGTTGACCTGACGTTAACTCCATACATTCACAATAAAGTTAGAAAATATTTAGCAAACAAAAAGAGAATCAGTTTGGTGGCTGATTGGTTGGGATTGGTCTGGGCACTCCGGGGCCCTGCCTAGGAGCCGGTGGTTGTGCAGGGACAGCGCTTGTTTCTGCATTCCAATAATCAAGTTCTCCATACCTGAAACTGACAGATGTAAATTCAGTTAAACTAGTTATACAGGTTTGCTTGTGCATTGTGTGTGGGCAATATGTATTGAGAGAAATAAAAAAATAAAAAAGTTAAATCAGTTCATACCCAGAAATGGGAACTGAGGTACCTGGTGGATGTCCAGGCTGGAATTAGAAGAAATAATAAGTTATAATTATGTATAAACAGGTAATGAAAAACTAATTTTCCTACTGCAAAGTCAACAACACTGCATTCCCCGCCATGATAATTGTTAAGAAAAACTAAAATACTTACCCTCTCTGGGGGTGTCTGTGCTGGAGGCTGGGTTGTGGCTCTTGTCTGAACATTGCTATTTGACTGGCCATTTGCATTTTGAGCATTACGTGACCTGTGAAAGAAAGAAATAACTTCTGAAAAGCAATAATCTTTTAGTCAAACTATAAAACACTGCAACCTTGAAAAAATCCATTAATATATTCCTAATGTGCGTTTACTTGAGGCGGCTGGCAAAGCTTCCTTTTAGGCACGGGTCCAGGGAATCTCTCCTGAAGATGTAGAGCAGCACCAGAATGAGAAGGACCAGAACAGGAACCACCAACAGGAAGAAGATCAACAGGCCATTCCTGAGGGAGTAGTCTGAGGTAGAAAACATTACATTACTGCATTAGTTACAACAAACAGTCAACATTTATTCCTACCAGATTACCTGCAATCACATCAGTGATTTACTGATTTTGCAGTAATTTTAGTTTTAGTTTTTTTTAATGAAAGTACAGACTGACATGATACATTTTCATTTCATTATTATAATAATCTAAGACTGACACCCATTCATCTAAATGCTGCAGCAACAGATATACTAAGGAGCCACTTCTACCACAGCCATGCCAGCAGAGGACAGAATGATTAATATATGAGTAATATGAAGCCCTGATATAGGACTGCAATAGGTTTTAGATTACTGTGTATCTAGAGAATTGCTGATTTCCATATGGTGCCCCCAATTAGAGCTTATGAGTGTGGTAGTAAGTGAACTGTGTATAGTAGAGTGCCTCTGACTTTCTGTAGACTTTATCTTGAAAAAAAAATGTATTAACCCACCTATCTGAGCAGGACCACTGTCTATGCTGCCACCTCGCCCTGACCTGTCACAGCGAGGTGGAGCCCACCCATCTTTGCAGTGGCAGTTCCCTTGGTCATTACATACCTGAAGAAAACATTATAACAACAAAGTTAGACTTGGCCTCATTGGCTGGTAACTGAGTAAAGAAAGTCAAGAAACTGCCATCTTACTCCTCGGCCATTGCAGGTGGTGCGGGCATCACAGTCCAAGTCAGGCAGCAGAACAGAGGCATTCACACACTGAAAGTCCAGGCAGGTCTGAGAGAGAAGACTTATAACTTAATAACACAATTAAAATGAGTCAGTGACTCAACAGGTGTACTTTAACAATGACAGTACTGTCCAGTTTCCTGACTTCAAAGCCTGCTTACCTTTCCTTTATCACAAGGGCTGCCAGGGTTAACATAGGCAGGATCTCGCACATCTGGGCCGAGGTTGAAGTCTGCATTAACACAAGTTGACCCTTGAACTATTTGGATACTAACTTGGGCACCAGGAGGGATTGTGGTGAGGTCCACGTTAGTGCACTGCACCTTTCCACACTTGGAATTTCTGTAGTGAAGGTTCAAGAGAATACACTCAGTTCCTGCAGTTGTTAACAAGTTTAATGTTGTTAGAAAAAAACATGCATCTACCATTTAACTGAAAAGAAAGTTGCATCACATATGTTCTTTAAAATGACCATTGTTGAGTATATTCAATTGCAAGGCACTCTGTGATAAAACAAACTTCCTCAACCTAGTTTGATATTTGATCAGATCATCATAGGAACATAAGTATACCTTGAATATCTACCACAAACAATTTCAATAAGTGGGCTCTGTGATGACTTTCAATCCTGAGACCTTCAATTTAACATGACTGCTGCTGCTATTTTTCTCAGAATTACCATACACACTTTATATACTGTATTTCAGTGATTAAAAAAACAAGTACTTACGCTACACTACATTTGATAAATCCGTTGTTGCTGGTTTGTCCACAGTTTCCAAATAAGTTTCCCCTTGTATTTGCATTCTCAAAACAAATATCATCTGCCTTTGTTGCTGGATCTGCCCAAGGGAGACATTAGATCCAAGATCAAATATTAATGACAAGAAAAGTGAAGTCATATCTCTCCAGGTACCTCCTGGCAGACTTTAGGCTGATGTATTATTGACTGGATTATTCATTGTTATGGTGTTACACAAACAAATAAGTTAGCTGCAGAACTCTTTGTATCAAGCATTAGTAAATGTACCTGGTGCAAAGAGATGTTTGCACTGGTAATCATACGTCTGGCATCGGCCCTCATAGCAGTATGCATCCTGACAGGGCAGGCCGTTCATGAGATAGAAGTCATCGGGACAGAGTGCATTCTTGCCATCACAGTATTCAGGAAGATCACAGGTGTTGACAGACTTTCTGCATGGTGTTCCAGAAACTCTGATCTAAAACAAGAAACAAATCACATACAGAAATAGAGAAAAAGCCTACTGTTTGTTTTCCCCATGTACAAGGTATTGCCTCATTTCAGTTCAGTCATAAGCTCCATAACTCTTGCCAACATAATGCTGACCTGACAGTTGTCGCAGCAGTCCCCCTCAGCACAGACAGACCCGGGTGTAAATTTGCAGGTGGCAGCATCACAGCATTTATTGTTGCAAATCTGTATGAAATGAAAACAGAGAAAAACTTACCACCACAGAACAGTATGTGTGTGCACTCTAGCCTGTAAAGCTAAAAGCAAAATGTGTCTGTTCACATTTGTGCATTTGTGTTACACAAAAAAGTTCTTCTTGATTTACAAAGAAGTCCTGATTTTAACTCTTAACATCATCCATTTGCAAATGTCTGTTTTCATATTCAAAATACTGGTTTGCATCATATCACAAAATTTTTAGCTTCATGGACTGCACATTTCTAAACTGAAATTAAATTACAAAGACATTCTCTATAACCCAACCCCTTACTCTACCTCCGGTTTGCCACAGTCACACTGTTCTCCTTTGTCCAGCCGGCCATTTCCACATTCAGCAGTGTCAACCACATCTGATGGGGAGGGCTGGTTTTTCAGACACAAGCCTCCTCCACGGAGGATCAGCATCTCAAAGTCACCTCCACTGCAGGTGCTAAATTTGGTGGAACCACTGCAGGGTAACGGGACAGACCATTAATGGACAGATCCTTTTGGACAGACCTCACATTAGTGAACAATCTCTGACTACAGAACACATTTTTTTTACATTTTGTGTTGTCAGATTACATAAAAATACACAATATTATTAAAATCATTGATTGTTGAGAGAGAATTTAACAATCTCACAGCCTGAGGGGATTTCGCAGAAGAAAAATAACCTATTTTAGACACTATGTCTGTTGTAAAAGGCACATAATATACTATGTACTGAATATATTTACCATAGGATTTTAACTACAGCTTTTTTAATTTCATATCAAAAGGGGTAAGAATATTTTGTGGAAGTTGTGTTACCTTGCACTGGCTGCCATGATGCAGCTGCCTCCATCACACTTGCAGCGTGTATTGTCATGATTCATGCCCAGGTTGTGGCCCATCTCATGGGCCACCACAGTGGAAATATAAGACAGCTTTTGGTTCTCGCTGAACTGTGAAAACACACACAATACATTCAGTACTAACATTCTCCATAGTTTACATACCTAAATAGAAAAATAAATAAAAACTGAAAACAGCCTTGGTTATACATGAACAACAGTGTGTTTAAGTCAAAGTGAATGAAAGCATTTCACTTTATTACTTACTCATTTATCTACTATTTGAATCAAGATATTGAGGAAGAGATCTGGCTTGAAAGGATATTTCAAAAATGTAAGTTGAGTTACATGGAGAAAACAAGTTTTATTTTCAGCAGGGCAGCAAATGTTCAATTATATTTTCCGATTAGATTTTGTAAACTGGTATAGTTTTTTAGCTGATCAGGAAGTAAACATTTGTGTCACTTTTAACATAAATTCTCAACCTACCATATTGCACCTATACCATTTCTTTAAAATAAATCCTTCTAATGTGACTTTAAAGGATATTAAAACACTTCCACTCACATCACAAAGAATGTAAGGAATCCAAATTTGCCTTGTCATGGTGATGATAAAACTGTGTTCAAGTCTAACCTGTCTGACTACTGTGTTATTCAGAGCATGTAACAATGAGCTGCACCTATACAATGTTCCATGAATAATGCAGACAGTATTAGTTACTGCACAAAAGCTCATGCTGCCAAACCACTATGGTGTCAGCTCGTGTTAGAAGTTAAAAGGGAGTTGAACTAACCACGTTGATTCCTCCAGAGGTTGTTACGGAGCAGACGGTGCCCACGAAGGCCATACCTAACACACCTCCTTCGTATGCCTTGGACCGACCACTGAGAAACAAGTTCACCAAGAGATAAGTCACAAATTTGACTCTATATGTCAGAAAAATTCTGACTCTGTGGCTTGTATCAAGCAATCTAATCTGATGCATCAAATAGTTTTACACATTACTTACACAATGAGTTGACCGACGTCATGCCTGATCTTTGGTAACAGAGAAGTACTCCTCCACTTAACAAACCTCCCCAACACATCTCCTGCAAAGCCGTCCACGTCAAAGGGATTACTATCCTTAAAAATCTCCAGGCCCACCAGCACTACGCGGATATTCAGCTGCTTGTAATACTGGAATAAAACAGAAAATGAAAGCAGATTATAAAGTATAGCAAAGCACTAGCACAAAATAAAACATGAGAAATAAGCATCATTTCTGTTACAAACATCTTAAAATCTCACCCCATCCAGTAGATTAGCCATTTCCACCATTTCATCTCGTACCGCCGTCTCATTTCTATTTTCAATATTGTACTGTAAAAACAATGAACACAGTCAATTTCCTAACAGTTATCACAGACTGGTTAATACTTATGGCAAAGCAAAGGAAAAGACTCATCAACCATTTCAAGGTTGATGAGTCATTGGGAACAGTAAAAGTGTTCATCTACTTCTATATAGTCTAAAATCCACTCTCCCTTACATATTACTGAATGCATCCACAGATAAACACACTCACCCTGAGATTATCGACAACCAGCGCCAACTCCACATAACTGGTTTGAGGCAAGTTGCGCTTCCTCTGTTGAAACAACAAACAGTAAAGAAGGAAATCAGTCATTTAAAACCTCATGTCGAAACTATAAATATAAGTTCAAGTGAACGCGGTGAGCTTCCTAACCCGCAGCAGAGAGGTCAGCGATTGGCCAGGCTCAAAGGGTTCATGGCTTTGTGCTGATGATGAAGCCTCATTGACGACCCCACAGGTGACGGGGTCGGACTGAATGTCTGTTAGGAGGTACAGGAGGTGCTCGTTTGTGGCAGACCGTGGCACAGGCTCAAGTCCATAGGTCTCATTTCCAAGGAGGATCACACCCCTGCAGAGAAATAGTGAATAGCAGTTACACCATTACAGAAATGCTTTCTGTCTGTGCCAAAGGGAGTGGCGATCCCACACCAAGGCATTACTTCACATGACGTACTTATTGAGGAAGAGAGAGACAAGAGTAGAACCTATTAAACCCAATACACTTCCTTTAATACGCGTCTTTAATAAAATATGCTTGAGGTAAAGGATTTTCATTTAAATAGATGTCTGTGGTCGAAACATGGCAGGTCAACCTGGTGGCAACCCATTGCGTCTGTAGTTAAAAATGGCTCATTCTAAGGTAACAAAAACACAAAGATTCCTATATTCAGGTGATTATACACTAATGAAAACATACTTCTGAATATTATATTCAATTTCTGCCAATAGATCCCCCCAAATGTTACACACTGGATTAATTAAAATCTTTGACAGCTCTGGATCCGTGTATCACTAAAAAGTAGGAACTATACAAAACAATAGAGATATTGATACCTGAGGCCAGAGCATGTGCTGAGCGCTACCACTGAATTTTCATATCCCTCCACTTCTCCGTGGTAATAGCAATGCACCTGGGAAAAGAGAAGTACAAATTGTTTCAATAGTTGATGTTCAAACCAGCCTAACTAACCAGAATAAGCAAGTGTCAACTTACACGTGGTTTCGGATATGATGCCTTGTGGTTACCAGAGGCGTCACTGGAATACTGAACAAAGTTTGGGTGTAGAAAATCTCTGACAAGAAGAGAAAAAAATACATATGATAATTCATCTGAAGTATTAACAAGGATTTGCAATAATGTATGTAACTGTGCATACCTGTTCTTTTGTAGATGAAGGATGTGCTTTGTGTTGTTTATATTGAGTGCATATGATATTGTGTCCTCTCCATATTTCTGAAATGGGGCAAAACCATTGACAGTATATATATAAAAAAAACAAGAAAGCCTTCTTGTTCTCACATACAAATTTCATTTAAAAATATCATTTAATCAGGGTTGTTGCCTACCTCTTTTGACTGTCGTGTTCTGTTGAGGCTCCTTGTCCATCTATGGATCACCTGAGGATTTACAATGGAGTACTTGGAGAGTTGTGACGTAAGCCCATTGTAAATATCTGGAGGACAAGTGAATACAAAGAGAAACTGTAAGTATTGAGAAGGTTAATTAATTTCTGATAAATTCAAATAAATTTAATTCAACCACATAGAAAAAAGGAAAATGATTTAAGTGGTATTTAGGCCTCTTTCTTTTTTAGAGTTATTTTACCACTGCTTCCTGTTGAGACCTGTGTAATGTTCAGTCACACACATATATATATATATATATATATATATATATATATATATACATATATATATATAAACTGTATATAGTGTACATATATAGTCTTTTTTATATTTTTATTATAACTTGCATCTATTCCATTTTCTATTCTTTCTTTCTGTGTATTTTTTTTTATCTGTGTTGTATATAGAGCTCTTGTAGCGAGTCTATCTCATCTTATCTTATTCTTTGATCCAAACAATAAACAAACCAACAAAACAAACATCATAAGCAGGCTTTTAGACAAAAAGATAAAACTCAATATGTCCAACCATCGTTGTTGGCGTGTATAAAAGAAAAATAAGCTCCTTTTCTCCTGCTCCATCGAAACTCTACCCAACATGTAACCCAAACCAACTGTGCCTCACCTGCGTTGTAAATCCCAGAAACGTAAGACAGCAAGAAAACAGCAAATAAAGTGTATTTTCTGACCATGATCGTAGTAAAAATCTAAGTCTAAATGTGAGTATCCAGATTATGTCCCCATTAAACCGACGGTATGACTCCTGTTAATGAATAGGACGTCCGTGTCTTTGCGTCCAGGTGCGTAATGATGGGCGTGGCTATGTACAGGTGAACAAGGAGGGTTAAAAAAAACAAACACAAACCAACGATGGAGTGAGAAGACAGTAAATATTTGTTGAATGATTTAACTTGGTTACCATACAGGTATATAGGTATAGCTTACGCTTAAACAAACTTTCTCAAGTGGGTGAGTTCATGCCTACTGTCATTCCTCCGTCCATTGGCATTGTTAATACATGGGATAATATCTAAATATATATATTTATATATACAATCAATGGTCTAAACAGACTTATGTTTAGACAGTACTTGATCTGAATGTATGCACAATTGACTAAAATAACCGATGCAGTTGTGAACGCTGAGACGAGCGTTGGAGATCTCGCGTTATTTGAGTGGTTGTCGCGTCACACACACGCGGAAGTGTTTTGGCGTTTAGCAGCGTTCAGTAACAGTAAAAAAAAAATATCATTGTGCGTTTTAACACCAAGACCAACAAATGTTTTCATATTGTACTTTAACAGGTATTTCTAACAGGAAGCTTGCACTTTACATAATACCCGCTCACGTATTCTGAGTCAAGCTATTGTTGACAACCCGATGTAGCCCAAAGCTAGTTAGCATGTAAGCTCGCTAATAAACTATGATTGACTGACAGTTGTTTCTAGACAGTGTTGGATAACAAGTAACTACAACCTAAGGCAAATGTCTGAATGATATTGAAATACAAAAGAGCATCTTTCTGCCTCGTTAGACACTTCGCTAACAATAGTTAATTAGACAACGTTACTTAGTTACGTAGCAACACGGATAATGATGTCTTTAAAGTACCTGTGTGTGCTGTTTTGAAATAGATTGTGTCATGTATGGCTGCATACCATATCTTAAGATTTGCTCACCTGTTGAAGAAGGGACTGCCCCAGAAACAAGTTTGGACAAAACCAAAAAACACCTCCTTCGTGGTGTCGGCTCAAGTTGTATTGTGAGTATACATTTTGTGTGTCTTCAAATAGCCAAGACGCACATCTGTCTCAAAATAAAGTTATGTGTTGCTTTCTCCCTCTGTAGAATGACTGCTCTGACAGACTTTGAACCTTTAGCAAAGAGACTCAAGGTTGACATCAAAGCCCCAACGTCTCCTTCGTCTTCTGTCAAAGGTAATTTGGTTAAATGCAATTTTTCTGGCAGTGTATATGCCGAACAAGTTATTGGCTTCATTTTACTATATCCCCCCCCCTTTGTAAAACAATATATTCTCTTTTATTCTTCAGTCTCAATTTTAGGTATTCAAAGCAGAGACAATGAGACAGTAGATCAAGAAAGGAGGAAAAACAACACAGAGACGAAGATGAATATACGGCCAAAGACTGGAGCAGATGTTTTGCGAGGTGTGAAGACGAAAAGTTACCATCAAAGAACTGGCCCCAGACAGCAACACAAGTTCAGAAATACTCTTGAACGATGGTTGGTTAAGCCCTCAAAAAACCCAAATACAGCTGAAGTGTGCCAAACCCAAGAGGATGTAGAAATGACCGATGATGGTGACTTTCAAAGCACCTCAGCGCAGTCTCTGGACTGCCAAAATGCTGAAAAACCTGCTCTCTCTGACTCAGATGAAGAAACCCAACCCATGACACCACAAGACCTGGATGAAGACAATCCTGTGTCACCAGCTTCCAAGGATTCTGCAGGGAGTGGGCTTATGCAGACGCTGCACAACAATTATGATGGATTAGAAAAACAAGAAATGGAGACATGCTCAGCAAGCACAGAGGAATCTGTCAAACACAATACCAAAATAACAGACTTCTTTTCAGGGACCTCATCGTCAGGGACCTCATCGTCAGGGACCTCATCGTCAGGTTTACCTGTGAGGCGGGGCAGGCCAGATAAGTTCCCAGGCAAACAAGTTGCAGGCAATGACTCTAGCGCTGCTGAGTCTGATGTCAAATGGCTGGGGACGCCAATCAATGAGTTAAAGAGAATGCCTGAATGTGGCGGACCACTTCCTCCACTGAAGAATGTTCCTGGCCAGCACACTGTGATGATAAGGGTTTGAGCAATTCTTTCTTTTTTAAACTATTCACAGCACATTCAGGTGGTTTAGTAATTTAACATTCATTCAATTAGTCAACCCAGTGTCTTACAGGTTCATGCTGCTGCACTGTGTTTTTTGAAATGTAGAACTTATTGTAGTTTGTTTCTTTACCATTTCTAGTGCATTATTACAAGACTATAAACTGTAGTGTCAAACATGAATTTGATCGTAGGCAAATCATCACTGATGACCTTCAACTTGGAAATCTTTAAGTGTCGTAACATTGTGACAATGTCTCTAAGTCTGCTTGTTTCAGCAGTAGTTTGAACAATGTAAATATTTATTGTGGAGCCTTTCAGAATGATTTTTAAGTATGTAAAGGCAAGAAGTTAACATGCAACAGCAGGATCTTTAATATGATCATCATTCTTTGAGTTTCTCACAGATCTGTATTTTATTGTTAAGAGGACTATTCACTGATGTTTTCATTCACTCCCCTTCACAGACAGACCTTCTTCAGAATGGTAAAGTTCCTGTTCCATATCCTTCTAAGTTCAAGGATACTTGGGATGATGTCCATGTCAAGATGCCCTGTTCTAGTTGGAACATGTTTCCTGTAAAAGATGAGGTAATGGGCCAAGTGTTCACAGACCTGCCAGTATAAAAAAATCAGTCTGTTATTTCTACCAATGAGGATGATAGGATGAACACTTCAATATTTAATATATTTTACAAAGTGTTGTTTGAAAGTGTTGAAATATCTCTTTATGTAAGACTGTCATGTGCTTCTACAAGTTATGTTACCTGCCTAAACAGGCTGGATTCACGTTCACTTTTCATGTCTCAAGTCTGTATGTGCATGAGTAAAATAAATTACTGTATGGAAATCATGATGAACAATACTTAATCAATTTATTCATGTAATCAATGCAGGAAACGGGCACAACAACACAGTGCTATTATTCTTTGCATATGAATAATAATAATTATAACAATAATAATAAAGTATAATCTAATCTATATGAAAAGCAAACTGAATTCATGCTACAGAGACCTAACAAAGGTTGTGCTCCCACAGGAAACACAAGAACTGCAGAATAAGAGTCGGTGGGAGATTATCAAGGAAACTTTAAACAATAAATTTACAAGCCCATATGAGCTGAAGGTAAGTTACACATCTGCATCCATTTATTGGCATGACCAAATGCATTTCACTTCATAAAACGAAAGGCACAGTACACTCTAGTTGTTGTTACCAGACTGTACCATAAGATGGCGTCATGAGCCCAGAAACTGAGAGGCGTATAGTCTCTCAGAATTTGAAAATTTGTGGTTTTAATACATATACTGTATGTAGTGTTTCTAACTAAAAAATGACAATACAGGTTTTTTTTGCATCTCAATTTTATATAATTACATAATTTGTTTGTTACAGGATGCAATATTGAACTACAGTGCCTCAAACGCCAGGAAATGGGACTTCACAGCATTACATTTGTACTGCAGTAAGGTAAAACAGTTTAAATATCTGTTATGTTTACTGATCTTTTTATGAATGTCACTGAACCCAGAAGTAGTGAATGAAGTTTATTTTGTTCTCAAAACCTCTTCGAAAGAGTCATTGAATTAATACTGGCATCCAGACATGTAAACACAGATGGACACAGGTTGAAGATGTTAAAGGTTTAGCTGTAGACTAATGAAACATCAACTGTCCAATCATGGCACGTGATTGCCCAACAGAAGGTATCGTAAACCAATGTCAGTGCTTCTCACAGAGCTTGGGTCAAACAAAGTGCAGATGGCTCATTAGTTAGTGATTATCTTCAGTTTGTGGAAGATACAGTGATACGGATGTCTCATTTGACACCAGCCTAGATTTAGCTTGGTATGAACAGTATTTAAGTGGCATTGCAAATCAATATCGATGTAGTAACCCGGTCAGGAGTTTATGCTGTATAATGAGACTGTCACATAGAGTGATTGAGAGTCAGTATTTTTTAAGTAAATACTTGACAAAGTGTGGGAATGAAGTTTCATAGGTTTTGTGAAAAGGTTTATTCTGTATTGTTACAAGGCTTTCTCAAGCGTTGTGAGAGCATGTATGTGCACATCTTTGCAACATTGGATAAAAAAAATATATTGTTTTATTATTTTTTTATTTTCTTTATAGGCCAAAAATAAGATAGGCATGGGTTGTATCATTATGGCCAGAGCACTGTTGGTTCATTGGTTGTCTTCTCCAGTCTCATTTGGAGGCCATCCATCATCTGTTGTCTTGATGCGCTCTGCGTCATCCTGTGTAGAGAATCAGGGAGGGCTGTACTTCTGTCTGGCTCATGAAAGGGAATATTCCATTTGGAGATGGGCCTTGTCATAACATGAGTGTTTTTATACAAGAAACCATGAACCTGTAAGATAATAGGCTTTATATCCCTTATAGCGCAGGAGCACTCATCCACTCTGTTTTGTATGGCATCATCTAGAATATGCCAGCTACATTTTTTGAATAATATCTCACATCTCAGGTAAAAAGTACATGTAGAGTTTTTTTCTTGAATGCCAGTATGTCAAATGTGTCATTTTGCACAAGAACAGTAATGGATTTCACACAGGAAAATGTTGCAGGCCTTTAGAGGCAAAGTGCGAGTATAGAAAAATAATTTAATGTTTTGCCAAAAGGTCACAGTAAGTAACTTGTCAAAAATGGCTGACATTACATCCCAGAGAATGCTTTACTCCAGCTTTATACCGTTGAATCAATTGTGTCCTGTATGTATGTCATAAATCATGTAATAATGGGAATTTTATTAGATAAAATCTGAACATGTTAAGAGGCTTTAGCCATAGTGGAGCTTTGTTGCTGCAGCTGGATTGGATTGTATCTACTGGAATACATCAAATATATTTAAACAGAGTTGTATTTGAACCGAGGTGCCACATAATTGTAACAAATAAAATGAAACAATTGATCACTCACTGTTTTGTTGATTGAAGTAAAGTAGGTATGTTGGTGTCAATGATGATTGGTTGTTCAGTAGACACCAAATTGACCCTACAATTGTGAAAATGTAAGGTGTCACAATTGTGTTTCATGTTAGATATGTGCAGGTAACTTTTTTTTATGTCATTGTAGATCACACAAAATATATTTGCTTTATTTATGCCATTTTATTGCCAAGCTGACACACACAGTTCCTCTAAACATAGACTGTTTATTTATTCTGTCCCTTACAGAATTTATTCACAGCTTGACTGAGTAATGAATCTGTGTTTTTGATAGTCTAATATGCTGAAGGGGCGGTAGCAATTAGGCTACATGGACAATACCTCTAAGATATTGATAGAAAGCAGCTCATATAGCTCACAGAATATAGTGTTGAAGTTTGTTTCTACATTTCATTTTAAAAACAATCAGAGAGGATCCTACGTGTTTGATTTATTTCTAGTGCAACATGCAAGCAAAATAGGGAATTGCAAACAGTGCAATGTAATGTACGCCATTTTTGTTACTTTTCCCCTGGAGATGCCATATTGGAGACACTGTAGCAGAATAATTTTGAGTGTCAGAGAAAAGTAGACATGAATGGCATGGAGTGATGGGCCAGGCAGCTTCATTGAATATTCATCTCGACACGCACACCTTATGAATAACTGAAAAGCAGTTGACGGACAGCATCGGTTTTGTTCATTTCTCTTTCACCAGCCCCAACCAGTGTTGTATTTACGGTTATGAGCGTGCAAGTGTTTTATTTTTACATGGTCACACGTCCACAGACGCAGCCGAGCAGATTGCTTTATTGCTCGGACCTGTGGGGAATCAGAACAGGAGTTGGCGTTGTGTTAAATCTGTATGGGAGCTCTGGTTTCTCACTGCTCACACCCCCGCATCTTGCTTGATTACTTTGTCAGTTTGGTGTGATGTACAGACCTGTATCAAGTCATAGAGAGAGTTAAGTTCAGTTGATTTGATGTACTGTCTTCTGCTGATTTAAAGAGCTTGGCTTATACTACCTCAGCTATATCCACTCCCTCGCCCTGTCAACTGCCTTCATTTATTACGCCCATAGGAACAGTTTATGATGTCAACCAGGTCATTACTTATGACAGTGTTTAGTCAGGCTTCCTTTGCCATAATATAAATGTCCCAGGCTAAATCACCAGTCAAGGCTCCTTGTTCTGGGAACACACTGTCCTTTCTATTTCAAATGCTTGGTCATTTGCATCTCTTCCAGAAAGACTGTTTAATCAGCTGGCATGGCCGCGCAACCTTGCTGAAATTGCTCTGGGATTGATCATTCTGACATTTTGTAGTAAATATGGGTGTAAACAGGGGTTGCATATATTGTCTTAGATATGTCGGAGCACTAAGGCAGTGTTGTGAAGTCATAGATGGTTGATATGTTACTTTAATATTCGGTTCTGGTGATACTATTATAGAGAAACTGTCTGGCTAAAGCCCGAATGTTAATAATATGAGTGTGTTTATTTCACAACTCTTATAAATGTTCAATACTAGCTGTTTTACATCTGCATGCACAGTATTGTAGGTTGGGTCGTGGAATTATACTCATTTTTAAAAGAGCTTATATTGCTTATATGTAATTAATATATGTTTCTCCGTAACATTTTACTTAAAGTCTCAACAGTATAATATGGATCAGAGCCAGTAATGTTATCTGTCCTTCTCAAACGAATCATCCCCAGCAGCTAATAATGTCACAGCTGAGTTTTGTGGCAAAACAACAAACATAAACAGATCTCTTGCTCTCTCCAAGGTCCTGGAGACTGATGCGGCTGAACATCTGTTTGACTCCCTGCTGCCAGACATGGTGCAATTAGCACTGAGAGCATCTGAGCTCTGTACCAAGGTAAGAACCATTACTAACCAACAGGCACGGACTCACTGGACTGTAACACAGTAGATCACCGCAGAAGGTTGATCCCAAAGGTCACGACATGACAAATAATATTGTAAAATGGTGGTAAAAATGGTGAGGTCAAGGCACATAGCTATTGATGGTCATTTGTCCGATGTTTTATAGTCCTTTTGGTCATCTGTTTCTTTGGTGTGTGGATGATAAACAATGTGTGTTTGTGTTAATTGAAAAAGGCTTTTGTGTATTCATTTGGCCAAGCAGCCAATCTAATTAGTTTTCTCCTTTCTTTCCGTAGTATCTGTGTTTAAATTGTGCGTTTAATTTAGTGTTTAAATTAATTTAAAACTCAAAGTGACACACACACACACACACACACACACACACACACACAATAAAACGTCAACCAGCAAACAACACTTAAACAGTATTTAGTGATTTGTGCTGTGTAGGCCATCAAAACTAAACACTGGTCTACACATTAGTAGCATAGAAAGATGTGTTACAGTGTAAGAGTTGATTTCTGTCCTCTGTAATGGTTTCTGTAAATAGTTAGTTTCTTTTGATGGATAGAAAATTGAGTAGCTAGTCTTAAATTTATCTAAAATTCTACTGATTCTGCTGAAAACTGTGTTTGCGCTCACTAGGCTGTAAATAAAAAATGTCTTGGCCATTGGCAGCCCAGCTCTCTAAATATTGGCATCCAAGTCGGCCATTGAAAATCCCATATCGGTTGACCACTAATCTGTATTTGAGGTGGAGAGATGAAGAGATCAATACTAAAGAAAAATAAATGGGCTCTTACATTGCTGATCTATTACAACATAGAAACCTGTTAAATAGCTTGCAATTTGAATTGAATGTGTTGAATATTGAAGAACTATAAATTGGTCATTTCCAAACATTTTGGTCATTTTACCTGTTGGTCCATGTTCTTAGGGCAACAAGCCCTCCCATAGTCATTACAGAATTGCTAATACACATGCACTGTTTATTTATAAACCCATAACCTGTATAAGGAGTATGGGTCTCCGGTGAGCAAGGATTGAGGTTGATTGTAATTATGATGGGTGATTCAAGAAGTACAGAGTGGTGCCAAATTAGTATATTTATGCAACGTACTTCAATGTCTCGTTTGGCAAATTGACAAAACAAATTATTTTGACCTTCCTCCGCTTTACCTCTGTTCCTCCTCTAGCCGATACCCCTCCTCAAGGGAGGCATGAACCACTCCATCACCATGTCTCAGGAGCAGGTGGCATGTCTCCTCGCCAACGCCTTCTTCTGCACCTTCCCCCGACGCAACTCCAGAAGGACTGAGTACTGCAACTACCCAGACATCAACTTCTTCAGGTCATTTAGGGATGTGGTTGTTTCAAACATGATGTTACACGATCAGGTTGTAAATGATGCTGCTGTGACAACTTTCCATGAGGGGGCACTACTGTATATGCTTTCCTCACTTATCATTTTATCTTCTGGCTGGGTTTACATTGTATATCTATTTAATTACACATGAGCAAACACTATCTTATAACAAGAGTGTATTGATCAGAGACCGTGATCAGTCTGACTCATTTACACACTGATCTGAAAGACTGAAAAAATAAGACATTGAGCACATCAGTCACAGTTTTGAGCTTTTTCTTTGTGTAATCACATTTTAAAGTACAGGGCAGACATTTCTTTAAGCCTGTTCTACTCACCAGAACTATTCAATATAATGTTATTTTTTTGGCACTTGTCAGTTTTACCAGAGTAATAAGTACAAATATGACAAAGAGGAGAGCAAAAGGGTCTTATTTTAATCCCTGCAAGCTTTCACTGGAGATCGTCTGGGTGGTGTAATGCAAAATCAGTCTGCAGATCACTGCTCAGTCATGTCCCCCCATCTCTTTTGGCATCACAGTGTAATTACCTAAATGGAACAGGGAATTAGATTAACATTGACTCAGATGGCTGCTTTTGACAATGGAGAAGGCCATTGGCTGTTTTGCAGAAGGCTGTAACAGAGTTCAATCGCATCAGTATTTCATTCACATGAAGGTTTGGCTGGGAGTTGAAAGGAAAGCCAGAGTCATCTTTTTAGCCTGCCACTAAAATCTGTCCTGAATCACCAATTTGGTGTGGGCCAGATATTAAATGTTTTGAAGTGTGTGTTTTTTATCATTAAATTATTTTTGTTTTATTACTTTTGTAAACATCTGAGGGATTTCTGTATTTTTGCTTCACAGTAATAGGTAGAGAAAATAAAAACAAAGCTTTTTATCTGCAGATATTCTTTTATCTCAATGCAGACTTCTCATTTACATCAAGATAAAACGATGGCACTTCAGCAAACTGTATTTATTATTTTGAAGTACATTTAACTCAAGCAGAGTTTCCAGGCTGTGTTTCCCTGTTGAAAAGTGTTTTCTGGTTCTGATGATGCAGAAACCCAGCTGTTAGACATACTGAAGTCACTTATACCCTTTCCTGAGTTACATCTGGACATCTGTGGGGGGTATATTGATGTTATATAATTGCGTATTAACTCTATTTCCCAAAGACCTTATTGCTATTTGTTACTAAAAGCCTGCTCTCACTAGTGGCTAGCTTGTGTCAAAAAAGAATGCCCTGAGGACTGCATGGAGCACAATTTTTTCTAAGGGCCACACTGACAAAAAGTAGAAATGAATGCAGGAGTTGACTTCGACGAAGGAGCTTCCTGGCCCCTGAAGGGCTCTCAGTGCATCAAGCTTTTGTCGTTATTTCGTTTCTTTCTATTTATTATGGCATGTGAGTTGGGCTGTGGGGTTCTTTTATAGAGTTTGCTCGAGAGGGAGATGGTGGGCTTAAAGCTGAGTGCATTCAAACCCACCCATTGCACCTCGCTACCAACAGCTTTGTGTGTGTTACTTTTCCGAGGGATTGACCTTTTTTGCCTCCTGAGGACACTGTTGCTTTAAAGGGACACAGGGCTTCTTAATGTATCCCCAAGGAGGGAGCCCTGTTTCCCTCTCTGTTTCTTTTTTTGTGTGAGTGCTGTGAAGTGGCACATGAGTGTGACTCTTTGATGGCAAGCCTGGGGCAACTCCATTGTCGTAACAACGAAGGAACTCCTACATAATCGGCTAGTGACTGAATGGGAAGCTGAGTGAGGGATGAACTAATTCATATCAAAAGTTAAAGCATGACTGAACTCACATGGCCAGAGTGGAGGTCTTGTGTCTTTATGGTGCTGGTTATACAGAGAGTCATTTTCCCTTCACTTGGCTGTAGTTATTTAATCGTTGGAGAAACTGAAAGACTTGGTGGTTGGCTGTGGTGCCATATATAACCTGCTTTCTTACAGAGGAACATAATATGTAGTCAAATATCAACAAGAATTGAATTAAATTAATTCATAATCTCTTCTGGCCCTGTAGGCTGTTTGAGGGATCCTCTTCAAGAAAGATTGAGAAGCTGAAAACCCTGATGTGCTATTTCAAGAGCTTCACTGAGGAAAGTAGGTGTTCAGATTTCATTTTCAAATACCTTGTTATTGATGTAAAGTAAGATACAATATTGACATTTCTCACTTCCCTTTTTTTTGGCTTTTTAGAGCCTACTGGACTTGTAACATTTACACGAAAAAGCCTGGACAAACCTCTGAATTGGAAAAGGTGTAGTATATTGACACTGTAATCACAGACTAATGTTATTTTCACCATTAGCAGTAGTAGTATGTCAATTGTTTCTGCCACAAATCCCTGCAGTCTGCTAAATCCAAGCACACAAAGATCCAGCGTCTCAACTCTAGCTCTTAACTGGAAAACAATTAATTCTTTGTGTTTCAGCTTGCGGACTCCGCTCACAAACCTCCACATCACTTGTGAAGGGACCATTGAGGATGATGGTTATGGAATGCTTCAGGTAAGACAAATAGGAGGGGAAGTTCACTTGTGGAAAGATAACATGATAGTGTGATTTAGAAGGACTTTACCTTGCAGAATCCTGTTCTTTTCCTCAAAGGAGCTCTTAGTTTGAGAGACACTCCTCCGTGTGCTTGGTTCCCATCCTCTTTTCTCTCTGTTGTAGTCAATCACTGAGCCACCACATTCTGGAGTCTTTCACCCAGAATGCTTACTACTGCTGAAAAGGCCTTTGAGGGAGCCTGTGACACGTTGCAGGGAGTGTGTGCTGGGACTGGGGTCGAGGCCTCTGAGCCTCCTTTGCTCTTTGTGTCGGCCATGCTTCCTTTACACTGTCAGGATGGCCCGCTCTGCCTTTCACCTTTTGTTTGCCTCCAGTTGCCACAAGCTGACAGTTGACGTGCACACATGACCAGCTCCGGGGCACGCTGCGGTCCGGATTGATGGATGCTCTGCTGGGGTGGGGGTGGTGCTGACAGCCTGTCAAAGCAGACTTTGGAGGCTGGCTCGCTGTCCCAGAGTTGAGTGACCAGTTTGGGGAGATCTGCTCTCAGACTGCTGCTCACCCCTTTGCAGCTTCTTCCTGGGGTTGTGATGGGGGTTGGTCTGGCCTGTCTACAGGCCAATGAGCAACAACTGTCAGTCCTGAATCTGGATTATATGTTCCGCATGGCTGCTTTCTGGCTAAAAAAATGAGTTGTCATGCCCTGTGTCTGAGCTGAAACGATGACATGAATATTTTCTTTTGAATCATAAAGAGGCTGAAATAAACAAGTAAATCATTGTCACAAATCTGCCCACAAACCTGAAAGAACACAACCAGGGAAAGATATCACAGGCATCAGTCAGCAGTCAGTTTAGTAGCGTGTTATGACTGGAGGGAGATGTTTACTTTGGACCGTAGGACTGCTCTCTTGTTTTGATGTTTGCTACTGGCAGCAGCACACTTAAGTGCTGTTCCTCTTGAGAGTTCATTTTGGAATGGGGGACAGATGTCTGAGTAATGCCAGCACCTCAGGCCTCCTTTCACAATCGGCTTGTCAGGGATTCTGTCACAGATAAAAGACAAAGGGCTGAGACCCTTTCATGAGGTGTTTTACTCCTGTTGTCCAAGTTTGGAAAACTATACTTTTCACAGTCAAAGAAAATGTTCAGTTACTTTCATCTAAATTATGTTTGCAGTTTTGTTTTATAAGAATACGTGCATGTGACTAAACAACTCAGTAGATTCTGCAAGAGCATGGATGTTCCTTAGTGTTTCATCATCAGTGATCTCTCTTGATTTTCAGGTGGATTTCGCCAATCAGTTTGTGGGAGGAGGAGTCACCAGTTCTGGTCTAGTTCAGGAGGAAATCCGTTTCCTGATCAACCCCGAGCTTATTGTTTCTCGACTCTTCACTGAAGCCCTGGATCATAATGAATGTCTGATCATCACAGGTCAGTGATCAAAAACTCTCCGTCACCTTGTTTGACAATAATTTCCACTTAAGGAATCACACTATTCAATTATTCATGATTTTGTCAGTTGATCCAGATCAGATCAATAATGCCCCAGCTTCACTTTTCTTATGCTTGACATATAATTTGACAGAAGAAACTCAATGGGCATCTCTAGTCACACACAGCATGGGGTGCACATTGCACACCTCCAATTTACCCCATCCTGGCTCAGCAAGAGGCTAAAGGATGTTTGTGGCAATTGCCCTGTTTTCTGCATCTGTCCTTGTCACGTTTCCTTTTGATTGGCTGCAAAGGGGAGAGTCGCATCAGTCGGGAGTTGGAGATTGGGCTGTCCTGATTGCTCTGTTGGGTCTTTCTGTTGAGTAATTCCCATTGACTTCAGTATTGAGTGGTTGCAACAAACAACAAGGCTGGGATAGCTTAGTAAGACCAAGTAACAAGAGCTAGACTTGAGGAGTCCCAGCAGGAGGCTGATGGCTCCTGTCTGTTTTGTTCTTCTTCTTTTTAATCTGTCTGACACTGTTTGTCTACCCTGTAGCTGCTTGATTGCGTTTGATGAAGACGTTACAAAACGGATGTTATGTAACATAGTAATAGCTAGTCAAAACTAAAGGAAGCCTACACAATTGTAATTCTGCAATAATAAAAAACATTTAAATCACTAATGTGTATTATACCTGGGTCAGTAAAAATACTGACTTCTTTTTAAATAGATCTTTTGAGCCATGTCTGAATACATGCTAGCTGACATGAATTAAATAGGTGTGCAAGAGCAAATGGCAGCTCCCTGCGTTGTAACTGCTACAGTGAATTTAATCCCAACAGTGCACAGAGAAGTTTAAACATCAAACTAGTGATTTTGGGTTGTACATGTAAATACACTTGTGCCCTGTCATTGTGTTCTCTTATAGGCTTAAAGCAACATCAATATTTTTATACTAACAATGAATCAAATGACTATAAGTTATTACTCCTCAGTTCCTCTCAGCTCTACAGGGTGTTTCAGCTCATTGTTTCTGATTTCCAGCGCCTAGCTTTATTGTTTTGGCTCATTTTCACCACTGTCATCAGCATTGTTTCCAGAAACAGGCAGATGTTTAGCACCACATGGCAGATAGACAAAGTTAGCAACTAGCTGGTCAATAGCTCTTGATAGTTGGTGGAAAAAGGAGGGTCAATAAGACTTAAATTCACCAGAATGTTATGTGTAAATGAGTAATAATCAATTAAAAATGCCCATTGTACATAGATGAATTGCCTTTATATTGCATAACAAGTCGTTTTAGCACAGGAAGTGAGGCAACAGAGCCTCCACCCTCCTGATCAGCAATCATACCGCTGCATCAGGTCTTCTCGCTTTAGTGGAGTCACCTTCAGACTTCTTCCCGGGCATCTATTCCTCGCTTCCACTTACGCCACTTAACTTTATTACTGGGGCCCAGAATTAATTATAGCTGGAAGACCTGCCCAAGACCTGCTCCGCTAATGGACTATTCCATTCCATCATCTTTATTAAACCCTGCCCATATCTCTTGTCCCCCTGTTGTAAAAGTCCAAGCCTTAGCTGCATTGTGGCCATGTGGTAAATCATATTCCCCTGTGATACGTTTTGGCATACAGTGGGGGAGCTAATGGATCTTACCTCTGCACTGAAATTTGCAAAAGTGCCCAGGCCTAATTGAATTTTCCTTGATTGCTAGATATCTGGCTGCCATAGGGGCGGTCAAAAGTATAAACAGTATCAAGGAGAAGTTATATGATTCATTGATGGCAGTACTGACCAGAAAATGCGAAGCAGGCTTGACGCAAACAGGAGATATAGGGAATTTTTTCTTGACTTTATTTGAAACCTAGTTTTGACAGTATTTAATGTTACTGTAACAGCGTACTCCTTGTTGGTTTACATGCAGATGTCCTCAGCTGCCCATTTTTGCCTCAACATGGCAATGAGATGCGCCTCTGACCTTTTACAGTCTCTTGTCCACAACAAATATGAGACACTTTTTGTTTTGATGTATTTACACATGAATGGAACAACCTTCAGGAAACATTGGGAATTACACCTGCTGATTTTTATGCAACCTATTTGTTATTTAGAAATCATTTCTAATAACCAGACACACATTTCATTGGCCAGGATCTGCTTCCTACTACAAATAATTTTTAAATGACAAATGGATTGCATAAAAAAAAATCTAAATCATAAAGGTTATTCCTTTCAAACGCAAATATGGTTGATCATAGAGTTTGGTATTTTTGGAGGACCAGAGAAGGTCAGGTGTTTGAATAGTTTGTATGAAGCCATCTATTTTTATGGTGGGAGCATTGAACATCAGCTACGCCAGTGGTATGTCTTTGGTATCTCATGGTGAACTTAACATGCTTTACATTTCTATATCTTATTTTTAACATCATTAGAATATTTAAAAATATTCTTAAAGTAATTTATTGTATTGGTAAAATATTGAACTGTTTAATTTAGAGTTCATTGTGCCAACTTCAAGAAGAGATTAGTTTTCCACTTGGCTGTTTTCTGTTGCCGTTGTAATGCATTAGTTGAATTTTAAAGCTGAATATTCATAACATACTTGCATAAGAAATGCCACTCTCAACAAGGTATTGAACAGCGCGAACAAACTGGAGATTCTGTTATCTTATGAGTCAGAAATCTGATGAACGAGCAGTGTGCAATGTTGCACAGACTACCTCCTTTTTCTCATCCATAAATTATGCTCATAGCATAAGTGCTCTTGGTTTTGTGTTGATACAAATGGTCGTTTTGCTCCTAGGTTGGTAAAGGTTGAGATGTCTATATGTGGCCAGTTGGATTGTAAACATAATTTTTGTTATAATGGCATACTGGTGAACTAGATTAGGTGCTTCAGGGTCTTAATCAGGCAGTCATTTTGCTTATTACTTTAAAAAAGTGAGAGGCAGGCTGATTATTAGTGAAATGTCTGTCAAGTGGAGTGCGCTCTAGAGATTCCCTCCCCCCCATGTGTGCTTCCTAATACCTGCTGACCAAGGCCCCACTACTAATCACTTGGTTTATTCACTTTGCAGCATGAAGCATCTCAGCGAGTGCTCTCGACAGCCAGGTACTAATGAGCGCTAATGAATGGGAAGCTAATTTGTGGGCTCATTTGTTTGACTGTGCTGTTGCCTCCCCACCCTCCGCTCCCCCTTTATGGGTGGTGAGTGTTCCCCTGTGGGCGGTCAGTCGCTGCTTCTCACAGGGTTTTCAATGGGGGTAATAACTTGACCTTCCTCTTGTCAGGAGACAGCTGCTCCTGTTTCATTTGATCACATCAGGGAGAATCACTACAGACACACCCCCTGAAAACCTTTCGTCATTACAAGGAATTTTTAAAGCAATTTGTATTGTTAAATGTCTATGCAATATGGTCTTTTGTCTTTTTACTTTTGCTGTTTACTTGTTATTTTATTGTTTGTATGAATACATATTTAAATATAGTTAGATGGTTCTTTAAGAGCCTGTTTGCCACACAATCTTAGCATACTTTATCCACCACCTATAGTGTATTAATGGATGTGCCTAAACTGGAGTTAATGTGCCTATTAACTCAGTGTAATCTTATCCACCTTTAGGCTTTGCCACCTAAACACAACTAAAAGTATTCTTTAATTCTGACCATGTTTAAATGTCAAGAGTAATATGTTAAGGCTTTGCAGTGGTTATATGTCCAGTGTCCCTGTTTGTTATTACCAGGTACACAGCAGTACAGTAAATACACAGGCTATGCTCAGACCTACCAATGGAGTGGCAGCCACCAGGACACAACTCCAAGGTATTTATTGCATCCTTGAAAGACCTTAAAATGCTCAAATAATAACTAAATACTACGTTTAACCCCTCATGGAAGGGCAATTTCAGTTGGTTCATCCAAAAATGATTGCCCGGTTTGAACCAATTCTTTGATTTGTTTCAGAGATGGGTGGCAGAGAAGATGCACAGAGATTGTGGCCATTGACGCGTTGCAGTTCAGGAATTTCCTTGAACAGTTTCGCCCAGAGAAAATCAACCGAGAACTCAACAAGGTTATCTTTTTTCTTTCTTTTAATATGTATTTCTTGCGTGAGAGTGTTTTTGTTGTGTTGCTGTTAAGTTTCTTTGCTCTGCATGTCACAAAACATGAGTACTGGGTTGTGCCTTTTACTCTTGCTTCTGGCCCTGGTTTAGGTCAGACTGTGGTGTCAGCTTATTGGAAAACGGGTATTAGTAACTGTATGGCGAGTGCTGCTGTAAGTGCATTTTTTTGTTTTGTAGACAAATGAACAGTTTGTATAATTTATGGCAGTGGAAGTATGGGGGCAATCTAGCACTGCTCTTTGATGTTACGCTTTGATCTTCCATAGTCACGTCTCTTTAACACTGTATGCAGTAATGTTATGTTTTAACTTTATTTGACATTTCGCTTCACATTTGGTTTACACAGATATAGTGACTTAAGTGCCAGTCCATTAGGTTGATAATCAGAAAACAGTGTCAACACAAATGTCCGAGATGACATTGACTCATGCTTACCTTTCTCAAGGTAAATATTTGAATTATAGATAAGTGTATGTAATACAGACTGATGGATTGTCATTTTGGTAGAGAATAAGCTTAATCTTATTTATTACACTGTCCATTAGGCCCAGACTGAATTTTAATGTTAACATAAATGACCTCAGGGCAATTAATCATAATTATTGAATTTACATCACATATTTTTTAAATAGGAATTTAAGCATGTGTGCAGTCTTCCCAGTCAAAGATCCAGAGTCCATTCGTAATAAAAAAAATCAAGATGTTGATGTTGTCAAGTCTGCTGCCAGAAAGCATGGAGGAGTTTGACAGCTCTGACAAGGGTGTGAAGAATGCACCAACATAAAGATCAATCCTGTTTCGAATATTGTTCAGCTAACTGTCATATCTGCCCTTTCAAAGGAAGAATTTATGAGTGGTCAGGGGGAGGATGGGCACTCACAATTCATTTTCACTTTTCACTTCATTTCCAGTGTGAAAATGAATGTCCTGGGCCCCTTCAGATCTTTCATTAAACATCTGCTGCTTTTAGAAATAATTCCTCATGTGGCATACAATCCACCTGACATGTCAAATGCTCTTGTTCATGCATATTGGTTTAGACCCTAATGTGCAGTTATTAATATGTAAAGCCCACGCGAATTTCACACCAATGATAAGGGGTGTGAAATGTAAAAATGTATGTTCAGCCAGGCCAACCAACCTTTATGATTTTATACACTGAATGTTGTGTCAAGCACAGGCCTGCAGGCAAATGGAATTACTTTTTTGCTTTTTCTATTCCATTTGTGTTTCATAGTGTGGAGACGTTCTTTAGGCCTGGTTCTTATAAAACATACCAGTGATCTGAAACGATCCCAAGACCTCAGGCTCAGAGCTGATTTTGCCTTTATGTACCAAATGACATATCATTCCCCACTTGCTTGAGTGGCCCGGCCTCATGTGGCTGAAGACTTGATGTAATGTCATCCCAAGAACAACCTGTTTCATTCACAATTTTGATGACAGAAGGGCTTTGCTTATGGTGAGGCAATGACAGAATCTGAAATCGCTCCCTGTTTGACCTAATGCATTAAATCATGTTTCCAGCGGGTCCTTGAAATCTTTGAAAGTTTGTGAATTTGAGTCCTGTCATATCAAATTGTGTTTTTGCTTTGTGTTAACATTTCCTTTCCTAAAATCTTCCCTTTACTCTGTCTTCATGTAGGCCTACTGTGGCTTTGCTCGCCCTGAGGAGCAAAAACAGAACCTTGCGGCAGTGGCTACAGGGAACTGGGGATGTGGTGTTTTCGGGGGTGACACACGTCTAAAAGGTGAGCACTTACGTAACGCTTCCGTCAGTACATCGTGCAGAGAAATGTGCTCTGATTGTGCACTTGGCAGTCTAAGCAGGCTTTCTTTCCTGGATATAACGGAATAAATTTCAGATTGAAAGGCTCCAGCAGATCAGTGTGGGCATCCATTTGTCTTCTGGGAATGCGTTCATTTAGTTAAAGCCTATTCGTCGCCTTCCTTCTATTGATCAAATGACAAAGTTAATATGTTTCATTAATAGTGAAATTGATCGCCCGCTCTGGTCCATCAATCCGTTACAGCTTTTTGTCTGAGCCTTGTATCACTGTCACTGAGCAGGGAGCTTCAGGAGACTATGCTAACCGCTCGCAGTACAGTAGCTCTGTTTCTCGCTTTCTACTTTACTTAGACCTACTGTGCTTTCAAACAGTAACATACGTTCATGCATATTTGTTAATTAGCTGTTGCCAGGTACAGCTCTCCATAGGCACCTACTGTCTGCTTAATGACATGCCTCCCGGTAGGAGTTTTGTAATTCAGTTCTCCTCCTGGGTTTACCTTCTGTGGCCTCACATAGCCACCTATTTTTTAATTGTCAGATAATAAAAAAAAAAACACAGTTGAAAGAAAGCAGGGTATAGAAACTGCTGAAGTGGGGACATATTCAGCTAAGCTCTCTACTGAAAAACTGTTGATTCAGTTTTGCTCGTTAACTTGCCACTTTCTCAACCTTCATTAATCAGCAGACATATTTCCAGTCTCTTAAAATATTCACAGCTCTCTGGGGCCAGACCTGGCCTCTCTTTGTAACTAATCCAGAGTTCTCAGTGGGGGTGAGACCTATTCCCCCGATTACTTACCTTTTACTGTACATGCCACAGAGGCTGGTGCTGCACACTTTTATGGTGAGCAGCAGCCACCGAATGACTCTACAGACCTTTGTTTCTATCAAATTTGCTGTATTTTTACAAATAAGAAAATGTGAATGATTTGTGTACAAATTTGCAAAGTACAATCCTTTTGCCCTATTAAAAGTTTTTGTGCCAGTCTCACTGTTGAGGTTTAACACTGGCTTCTTCTCCTCCAGCTCTGCTCCAGATGCTGGCAGCTGCTGAGGCGGGCCGAGATGTAGCCTATTTCACCTTTGGTGACAGCCAGCTCATGACAGATGTCTACAACATGCACTCTTTCCTCACTCGGAGGAAGATCAGTGTGGGTAAGGCGAACAACCGCTCTGCCTGCGTCTTGTTTATATGTAACTGTGTATATGCCTTTTTGTTATGATTGCTCTGTCAAGGGTGTGATGCAAGAAATGATATCACGTTTAATTATGTTATGGAATCATATTTCCTTTTAGGAATCTGTTGTACATGATGTGGTCTCTAGAAACAGTGATATGGCTAATTGGTATTCCAGAAAACTTGTCCACATTTTGCTTGCTGTGATTTTAGTCCGCTTTAGAGACTAGACAACATACACAATCTCCTTGTCTCCGTCACAGGGGAGGTGTACGATCTCTTGGGGCAGTACTACAGCTCAGTGTGCAAGACTTGCCTTGGTCGGCGCCCTGTTGTCAGCCTCTACTCCTTCATCTACCAACAGGTCAGCTCCTCCCTGGCGCCAGAGGACTCCGACAGGGGCTCGGCCAGACAACACGTCCCCACGGACTGCCGTTAAGGTCAGGTGGCTGATGAGTCACCGTGCCTTATCGTCAGAAAATGAAGCACTTACCGAATTAAAACATTTTGTCTGCCGTGAGCTTTATTTTTTATTTCAATTTTGTTTGGTGGAGAGACTTTTAATTAACGGTTTGGGGTCTACCATATGTGGTTGTCCACCACGGGCAGACGAAAATTAAAATCTAGCATGCAGATCCTTTTCAAGAACAACTGAACAGCAGAAGGTGATTAGTTATGACCCTGTCTGGCACTTCAGTCCAAGCTCTGTTCATTTTGCTGCTGCTGGTAATACGCCAATGGATTGAGCTTCAATACGACGCAATTGTGATTTTAATGGTGAAGCAAAGGTTGCCATCCATCTTCTGAGTTTGTCATGTTGCCTTTTTTACACCCACACATATCCAGCTTAATTGAATTGGCTGTCAGAAATCAAGTTAAAGGAAAAGAATAACAAGAACGGGGTTTGGAGAGCTCGGAGCGGTCTCAGGAAAGCGGTTTGATTTAAAGAGCAGTCCGGCTCTTTGGGAAATAAACTCATTCCTTCTGTGTTTATTGCAAAATTCTAATCATGGATCCATGAATTTATTTTCTGGTAGGTTTTTTTGCTGTATGTGATCCACATTAAAAAAAACCCAGTTGCACTTAATTAATTTGATTTGCTTGTTTCTGCATTTTACAACTGATTTCAGTGTAATTGTGTAACTGATATCAGTCTAGTTATTTCTTGGCCTTTAGTAATTATTGTTGAATAGCTACACTTGAATTAAAAGTGAGGTATTTTTCTGACACATTTGGTTTTTTTTTCTGAATAAAATCATTTTGAAGTAAATATTATAATTTCTAATATTGCCTATCTTTTATTCTGAAGTACCATTTGAATGGAGCCACAAATGTCAGTAATATATCTCTGAACAATCAGAATGAGGGCCTCTTGTCCCATGAGCAAAAATGAGTTTCTGCGCAGCCTTGCCATTTATCTTTCCACAGCTATTGCTTCCCCCTTTCACTCACAGTTTAATAAGGTCATACCTTTTATATAAACTGTACATGACACCTCATTAAGTAAAGAGTAGATCATAGAACATCCAGTCGGAGGCAGAGTCAGTGCAGTGGGGCTCCTCTGCCTATTGAATGAAACACCGCTTCATTTGCAAGTCTCAGAGGTTAGACCTTACTTTGTATTCAGGTTTGATGACATGCAATTTTGTTTTAAGCATCATACATATTTAGTGGTGATGGTAGACATTTAAAAAATATTCTTTGCACACAGTACAATATGACATGTATGACAATGGGTTTATTTATTCTAACACCACAAGCCTTGCTTATGTTTAAGCAAGGCTATATATTTGATGAAAGTTGACACTATTTGATACTGAATGTTGTTAGCCTCTTATTGATGAAACACATAACGTGTTTCATGATACATATTGTGACTGTTCTCCTTGTGTGAATGTCTAGTTACATGTCTAATGGGCTGTTAATTTACAAATTACCCAATCAGCAGGATTTTATGGACTAAATATTTTTAGTTGAATGTTAAATTAGTTTTGTCCCCGGACTGTGCTGAATGGACTCCTGGGAGCTTGTAAGTGAATGAATGAGGTGTAGGCGTCTCTAAGCTTGGTGCTGTCTGCCTTCATGGAATCAGGACCTGAAGTAGGGGGTCTCTCTTTGTAGCGTGCTGAGTTCAGAAAAAGCCTTTGGTGGCGTCTCTCCCAAGGGGAGAGACACACAGGGGTTTCCTACTGGATTGATCCCTCTGCACTGAGCCCCATGTGTGTCTTTGACCTTTTGGCTACCATCTGTCATAAAGTCACGAACAGTGTTTAGTCTTTTGAACATGATCCAACTTTGGCACATGACTGCACTCAGCGCAGAGCTAATCACAAAAGTATACATCTTTTATTGTTTTGATTTATAATGTAGCCACTTTTTAGTGTTGAGGATCTTCTGTAGGTGTTCTTCCTCACATTAACATACCCCTGCTGATTCATTATATTATTGATACATAATTGAAATTCCTGCTACATTTTAGAGTGTTTCTAGCCATACCGGTGTCATGTTAGTGTCAGTTGGTCAGGTGGTCGGTCCAACCTGATATACTTAAAAAAATCTACTGAATGTATTTGCGCTAATACTAACACTCATGGTTCCCAGAGGATAAAACTGACTTTACCTCTAGTGCCACTATGCGGTTGACATTAGTGTTTTTTATTTAAATGTCTATTTAATTGATTGAAATGAAATTTGGTACGGGCATTTAGGATGAATGATAAAACTGGTGATCCCTCCACTTTCCATATAGTACAATCATCAGGTCAAAGTTTCGATTTGTCCAATACTTTGTTTTATAACAAAATATCTGCAAAACTAATGACAATAAGTAAACAATAACAATAAACTTGTGTTTAGCTCTAATAGGCAAATGCTAGCATGCTCACATTAGGGGTGTTAGAATAATATAGTATCGCAATATTTTGTTTTGTGATATTGTATCAATTCTCAAACACACTCCCACTGCTAAATAGCAGTGTCGTAAATGTAAACTGAGGGCTAAGATGTTAGCAGGGACTGTGGTTAATACAAATTCTGATCCCACTGTTCTGGTTGTATAAAAAATGGAAACTGTTTTTTACTCAGATTTTATGCATGTGGTGGTGTGTTCTCTCTTAAAATATATATATCACCTTAGTTACAGTATTGCAACATAATACAATACATTTAATTGTAACGCCTGTATTGTGATATGTATTATATAGCCACCTTCTTGCCAATACACAGTCCTACCTAACATGCTAAACTAAGATGATAAATATGGTAAACATTATTTTGATTTTACTCCATTACTTATTACAGGCCACAGATAAATACACACAATACTTACTTAACTGATAAAAGCTGCACCTCTAGTGTAGCGAAGAGATAACTAGCTGATATTGTAAAATGCATTTTAAGCATCCACGATGATAGTTTTAGATTATTTTTTTCAGTGTTGAAGCATGAATAAGGATGTTTAGCAATCAGCTGCTGAAGTAGCAGATTTGAGTTGGAGCTCAATGCGGAGAACCAGGGGATCAAGCAACCTTTAACAGGTAGTGCACTCTGACATTTGAATTGACTTAACATACACATGCAGCACTACAGTAACGGCAAGTTTTCTTTATTCTGTTGTATAAATTATCAATAGACCCCAGAGAACCAATAAAATGCATCAAACAGTTCATCATTAGATTCTTTTTGAAGCTGGAACAGCATTACCATATAATCTTTCCACTTTGGCTTTTGTTTCCTTCCAAGGAGGTCAGCTCCGATAATGTAGGGTCCTGTATTATAAATGGGGAGGCCTATTTAAATTCATTATCAGCTATTTACTTCATGATAACTTCTTATCATTTTTGATCATTAGTGGAAACTCCCTGTAGTGTTTGGAGGGAGTTATGCAAGGTTCTCTTGGCCACAGATTAAAGGCATTATCAGCTGAATATTGATATGTTTGATGAAACCCTGGGAGCTGTGGCTTACATTTGTTTGGACTGAAGATATAAGACAAAAATAGGATTCGTTGTCATGAGCTCTCTTTGGCTAATTATTCATACTTTGTCCTTTCCATGATAAGAATCTTATTTTATGAAAAAAGATGGATGCTGCACATGCAGGACACCTGGGGCACTCCAGTGCTTGTGGGATACAGCTTATTTGCAATTAATTCTAATCTTGGAACATTAGTCATGAATTATTACTATTTTATACTCTATTGGTACTAGCAGGGATGGTTGACATAAAAGCCATCAAGTCTAACATCAAAAGATGGGAAAAAAAGGAAGATTTCACCAACTTAACTTCAGGGGAAGGATTAGTACAACAACAACAACAACATTTCCTGTTTGCCTGTTTATTTTCCTTCAATATCTAAAAAAGTATGGCCATTACAGAAGTCACCTGTTCAAATTTAAACATTTATTTTAGACATTAAAGAGCCCAATCTAAAGTGGTTATATTTCCTGCTTACTATAATTAATCTCAAAGTTTTCAAAAGGATTTATTAAAAAAAAAGTAGTTCCCCATGTACTAAGGCTTTGCTGCATCAACCAGAGGATAACCTAACAGTGAATCTGAAGCTCTTACTTTTAATTACACACTTCAGCCGGACACGTAAAGTCATGACTTTTGGAAAAACTCTTGATCCATACTGCTAAACACTATCATTATTGGAACAAATTACAGCTATTGAGATAAAAAGACAATATTCTGCAACACACCCATCAGTATTTCTCATACTACCTTTGCAGACAGGATGTTTGCCATGTCATGCACATGTTCTTTAAACATGGCTCTTCTGCTAAATCAATTTTGTGCCATCACGATTAACAAATCTTGCTGCGTCTGTAAATGTCCTCAACTCTCACTGCTGTGAGCTTGTTTGAACTCGGTGTGACCTAAATGTTTCTCCACTTCCTCTGTGTCCTGTGTGGCGCATCAGCAGTGTCATAGCCGCCATCGTTTGATGGTAATTGTGTCTCTCCTCCAGCTCTACACATGCTGAGATGGTTCCTCGTCCAAAGGCAGTTCCTTCACTTCTCTGAACAAACCTGCTTGCATCGTCTTTTACTCGGTCTAAATAGCCTGCAGTCAAAAACCCTCTTAAATATGGGCTGCACTCGAGGAGGCGGAGGCGGCTTATAAATCCAATGCAGCAACAATTATTTATTAGTGACAGCTTTCTATGGCCATTTTAGTTCAAATGTTTCCACTGCAATTGATCCAAAAGAAAAAAATCCATTTTTATGTGATAGCTGTAGCTTTTAACCAAACTGACTGCTCGCTCCGTAAGGTCAAGGATTGAGTGAGTGAAGTTATTTTTGCTCCTAGTGTTATTAGATTGCCTATCTATCATTGGAGTGTCATGTGATTGATACTGACTCAGCTTGAATGAAAGATGGAGCAAGGCCATTATTGCTCCCACACAAGAGTAAGGAGAGCGGCCTCATCGCCACGCCAACTTGTGCAGAAGTAGCCCTTGAAGGATAGAGTGAAGAAAGCTGACGAGCGAACTGCTTACTACTTTCGTTGCGCCATTTCTCATTTAAACTCATTTGAACTCCACTGTCAGTGGATTATGTTTTTCCATTGTCATGTTTTTCTTCATAAAACTTACAACCTCAGCATGTATCAGTGGGAAAAGAAAGGCTGGATAGACAATTGTGGAAGGATGATTACCTCCGAGTGCGTATGCAGAAACAGTTAATTTAGGGACAGTCCACATATTGCTGACCACTTGAAATTGCATGAGCTGTTCATTAGCTTTTATGAATTCTTGACGATTTCATTTTACCATATTTTAGTATGCTAGATGTCAAATTTCACTTTAAATGCACCAGGTATGAACTTTTAATTTTGCAGTATATGGCTGACTTGGTTTACTATCCAAAGTTGATCTGTTTTGAACTTGAAGGCATCTCTTCAGGCCTTTAATTGCACACTTGTTGCTCCTTCCACCCACGAGGTAGATAACACCATCTGTTCCATGTCCGCACAAGACCAATCATAATTTCAAAAAGAGAAAAATATATTCTGCTCCCTGGCAAAGATTGCATAGTGCTACAGGAAGCCTATTAGGGAATATGAAACACGTTTTATTTTTGCTTTAGAAATATTTTAAATGACACCATCATTTGCTGAGGGCTGCATGTTAGAATGACATGTATAGATGTGTGCATATATGTTGATCTTAGGGTACTTGGGGCATGTTACCGCATCAGACAGATGTCTCTCTCTGTGTTTCAAAGGTGGCAGAGACAGATGCTTCCCACACATTTCAAAGGAGACATTTTTCT